GCTGCCCAGACACCTCCCCCTGCAGGCCCCAGGTACACACTCAACGCATCCGGAAGGACAGGGGCCTTTATCTTCCCCCAACCTGCTTTCCTATTGTTCTTCCAGGAAAGGTAAAGTGGAGCAGACCCCTGCCATTCTACATACACATCTGAGGCTGAAGAGGGGCTCTCATCATCGTCTCCACCCCAGATACCATTCAAACAGGCCAGGAGGTCACCCCCACCCCCAACCTGGAGGAAGGTAGAATGGAATCCTGAGGGCTGGGCTAGTGGCTGACAGCATTCATCTAGGACAGTCAGAAGAACCCAGAATGCAGCGGGAGCAGGACTGGGAGGGGGAGGGTCAGGCTCCCACGAAGGCTCCCTGGAGGAGGCAGTGCAAGCTGAGCCCTTAAAAGCGTTGGGATTCTGGTAAGCAGAGAGAGGGCAGGAGAGCATTCCAGTCGAGAAGACCGGCTGCAGCAAAAGCGTGAGGGTGGAAACGCTCGAGGTGATGGGTAGACCCGTACCTGCGGTTGGGAAGTGGGGTTGAGGGTGGGCTCCCAGGCCAGGACTTGGTTGCCGGGGCAAGTCGTACCGGGAGGGTTGGCCCCGAGTCAGGAAAGGCCTTGGCGGGAGCAGAGAAGGCAGTGGGCCATTTTAAGTGGCCAAGATCTGGCCCGGAAGAAACCAGACTTTTTATTTTTTTAAGGGAAGGTTGAGGTGGGAGTGGGGAAGCTAGTTCCAAGAACCCCTAGTTTGGAACTTCTGCAGGGAAGGGTCTCTTGGCCCGTGGGCAGGGGTGAAGTTCAGGCCCACTGATTACATCCATCCTTCCCGCTCCCCGCCTCCCTGCTCCCCACACACCCCAGATTCCTCTCCAGCCACAGTTTACTTTTCCGACGGATCTGGGGGTGGGTGGTAGGTTGGGGGCGGAGGAGGGAACGTTTAGATTGGAATATAATAAACTCCCTCTAGAGGGGTGGGGGTGGAGAGCGTACGGGAGACGTCGGCTGTGCCACTGTCTAGCCCCTGGCCTTGCTCCCGGCCTCAGTCTACCCATCTGTAAGCTGGGGCGGTGGGGCGAGGGGGGATCTCTACTCCCGGCTCTGCCAGCTTGAGTCGTCCGCGCCTTTAGGGACGGTGCTGGAAGCTGGGCGGGGAGGGCTCTGGCGGGAGAGGGCTGGGGGCGGAGAGCGGCGGAGGCGCAGTCGCCGGGTCAGAGTCCGCAGGGAGGCCCCCAGGCCGCTGCGCCAGGCTCCAGGCGGGGGAGGAGGCGGCGCCTCCGGGGCGGGGCTGCCGGGCGGCCTGGCTGGAGGCCCGGCGTGCGTCAGCGCAGTGAGCCCCGGAGTTTTCCACTGACGAGGGGGGCGGAGCGGCGGGCGGGGCTGGGCGCAGCCAGTCTCCCGCCGCCGCCGCCGCTGCCGGACGCGCAGAGCTAGGGGCCGCTGGACCGACGGCTGCCGGGCCGAGCGCACAGAGTCGCGGCGCTGGGGGCGTCCCCCGCCGGGACGCGGGTCGCGTCGTTGTCCTCCGCGAGCGTCCGGATTGCAGGTGAGCGCCGAAGGGCCTTGGGCCCGGCAGGACGGGACTTTGGGGAGGGGGCGTTCAGCGCGAGTGGCACTGCCGCTCCTGCCTCCTGCGGTTCTCTCCTCGGCACCCTGAGCGGGCGCGGGGGCGGGAGCTGCCCGGCTTTGACGGCGTGCCGCGGCCGGAGTCGGGGGCCGGGGGTCCGGCCAGCGGGAGTCGCAGGTTTTCTGCTCCCCTCCCCCGCCCGCCGCGGTAACCCCGAGAGAAGTCACGGCTCCCCGAGCTCTGCGCGAGTGGGGACAGAGCAGGGCTTGCGCGCGAGCGGCAAGGCGACGGGGGCGTGCGTCCGCGGGCGAGTTTCCTTTTGACCCAGTTGCCTGAGAACTTTTCAGAAGTTCCTCGCGTGGCCGGAGCAGGTGACATTTGTCGCCTTCCTCCTCGGGCTCCCCCCTCGGGGAGGCTGCGGGAGCTGCGGCGTGTGCCGGGCGCCCCCGGCCGGCGGGGATCAGGGAGGGAGTGGAGGGATGAGCGAACAGGGAGGCGCGGTGAGTCACGGACCCCGGGAGGGAGGGAGGGATTGTGTCGTAGGCTCACCTGTTTGTTAGTCGCCGTCACTCTCAGAGGCCACTGCTGTGAGTCACGGGCGCAGCTACACCGGCCACCCGCAGGCACACGTAGACTCTCTCCCACGCACTTCTCCTCCTTCCGCAGCACGTACTTCCTCCCCTTCCTCAGTTTCTCCTCCCCGGGGCCCATTCACAGGCACGCACTGTGGAGATGCCCACACTACAGCCATAGTCACACACTTAGTCACTCCCGCTCCTGGCACAATCACACACAGCCGTAGCCCACACTCCTGACACCAGAGAGTCCCTCCCCGTCTCCTGCTGCCCACCCAGCACCTCCACCCAGAAGTCTCAATCCTTTTGGAGAGTAACTCATCACCTCCCCCGACCCAAATCCTTGACAGCCCTGCCCTCTTCTTTCACCACATCCCAGTATCTGCCTTTCTCCTATGCCCTTGGCCTGTCCTCTCACCTGGCCCTGGCAGCACCTCCAACCGGTCACACCCCCTCCACTCCCGGTGCTGAGCCACGTTTTTAAAATGCAAATCTGGCATTGTCACTCCCTAGTTAAGCCCTCTGTGGCTTGCCGTGCCCTCAAGCTAAAGCCTGCCCTGGAGCCCAGGATCAGCCTGGCGGGCTGCCCCTCCTCCGATCACACTCTCCTGGTCCCTCCTCCTGTTCCTTACCCATGCGGAGTCCCTATCTGGAACTCTGCCTACTTTCCTTCCTCAAAGAGACCTACCTTCACCCCAGCCGTACCCTGTCCCACCCTTCAGACCCTCCATCCCAGCAACCCACTCTATTTGTCCTCCCTGCTCAACTCAGAGCTTCAAGAGGGCCGCAGTTGTGTAAGTCTTGCTCCCTGCATGCGCGAGTGCCTGCCACAGTGCTTGGCACGTATTTGTTGAGCTTGGTGCCTATTTGTTGAATGAATGAATGAATGAATGAGAGAGGGAAGAAGGCCCCGTCTTAGGTGGAGGAAGCAGTCATTGTCAGGTGCAATGTCCCTTCTGCAGGAACAAGTGCCTCATGTAGCCAGCATACATTTGGCACCTATCCAGTGCCAGGTCCTGAAGGCCAAAGCCGAGGAGCCATCCCCTCCCCCAGCTCTCCTTCAGAGGGATGCTTGGTTAGGAAGTGCCAAGGCTTTTGGTCTGTCCTCTCTGGGCCACCCAGGCTGGTTTTTCAGTGGGGACTAGAGGTGCTGGGAGGTGCCCTCCCCTTCTCCCAGGAAGTTGTTCCTGAGGGACAGGGGTCATGTGACCCCAAGTGTTTTGGGGGGACTGGCCAAGGCCTGGGGCTCAGAGGTTAAAGGACACATTCTTCAGATTCCTGAAGGGGGATGGAGGCAGCTAAAGGTGACCCCCTCCCTAAGACTGGCTTGGGCTGAGCCCTGGGGCACTGGTGGGACTGCCGAGGTGGACAGAGGAGTTGCTGTGACTTTTTCAAGCCCCGCCCCCACTTCTCGAAAACAGCCCTTGGTTGCTTGGTGCCCAGGGGTGAGGTGGCCTTTCCTGGATTCGCATAGTGTGACCTGAGTGTGTGGATAACTGTGGCCAGTTGAGTGGGGGGTTGTCAGTGCCTGTGTGTGGTGGCAGGAGGGCTGCCCGATTGTCAGGGCTCAGATCCCAGAAGAAGTCTGGCTCTCTGATTCAGGGCCTGTCTCTGGGGTTCCTCAGTGGTGTGGTATTTCTGTCCAAGCCAGCTCCTGGGAACTGCTTTTCCTTCCTCCAGGACCCTAGGGAGGGGGCTGTGCTCACCCTGGGAACACTGCCATGGTCAGAATCCTGATTCCTGGGTAGCTGCTGAGGGCCCCTCCCCCCACCTCTGACTCACTGTCTGACACTTTTCTTAGATTCTCACTATCTTTCATTCCCTCTTGGCCTCTCCTTGTCTCTGGCTCAGTCTTTTTGTCTCATCTCCTGCCTCTGCCTCTTAGCCTCTGGATTCCCACGTGGAACAGAGGAACACGAGAACCAGGGGCACTTCCCCCGCCTCTCCAGAGGAGTATCAGGGAGGAGGTAATTTCTCATTTCATTCCTGCGCTGCAGATTTGGAAGGGATTGTTCATCACTAGAACCTGCAGCATGACTGTAGCTTCCCTGTGTCTCTGTTTCCCTGTCTGTAGGCTTGGAGGTCATAACCTCCTCACCTTAAGTTCTCTTTCTGTGGACATCCCTTAGGCAGAGCCGCAGTGTGTGGCTGAGCCTGCTTTCCTGACATCTCTCTCCATCTGTTACCTCTTGGGGAACCGAGGAGCCTCCTGGGATTGCGTACATTGGCACCTGCCTGCAGCCTGAGCTTCCCTCTCTTGCCCTCAGAGCCACCCCTTTTGAGCACCATTCTTGCTTGTACCCTCTGGCACAGCTGGGGGATAGACATGTGATTCTCCTCCTGCCCCTCTTAAATTAACTGTGACAGGAGCAGGAGAAGGTCACAGTGACCAGTCGCCCTCAGCAACCTCATGTGCGTAAGATTGCCTGTGCAATTGGGTCTATTCCCGATATGCAGGGCTAGTCTGCTTACCTCTGGTATTATCAGGTGCCCTCTCTATGCCAGACTCTGTCCTAGACATGGGCACAGGGGCAGCCAGACAGAGATGCCCTCAGCGTGAGGCAGATGAGCAATGAGGCCTCTGCAGTCTGATCAGATAAAGTCTGTGATGGGGAAATACCAGGGTTTTTGGGAGCTGTCTTACTTTGGGCTGCTGTAATAGAAAGTCCACAGACTGGGTGGCTTAAACAAAAGATTTATTTTTCACACCTTGGGAGGCTGCAAAATCCAAGATCAAGGCTCCAGTCAGCCTGATGAAGTCCCTCTTCTTGGCTTGCAGATGCACACCTTCTTGCTGGGTCTGAGCTCACATGCTGGAGAGGGAGACCATCTCTTTTGTGTCACTTCTTATAAAGGTGCTAATAAGGTATCATTCATAGCCTGATTACGCCCCAAAGGCCCACCTCCAAATACCATCACACTGGGGATTCAGTCTCAACATAAGAATTTTGATAGGATACAAATATTCAGTCCCTAGCAGGAGCGCAGAGAGGCAGGAGGAAGGAGTAGGAGAGTCAGGAGGCCCCTCGAAAGTTGACTTTCTGAAAGAGAATGAGGCTGGATTGTTCCAGCTTTGCAGAGGCCAGGAGGTGAGCGCCATTGTGGGAACTGCAAGTTCAGCTGGAGTATAGAGAGCAAGGTGGGGAGAGGGAAGCAGTGGCCAGGTCAGCTTCGGCTTCTTGAATTCTGGACTTGATCCTAATGTCAAGCTTCCCCAAGGGGAGCTGTAGAGGCTATAGAGTGGTTCTAGGTGTGGCAGTGGCAGGTAAATGTGTGCTTTAAGAAGGTCATTCTGGCTGTAGGATCAAGAATGGCTGGGGAAAGAGGAGGGCAGGAGCAGAGGGACATGGGGTAGCTGCTGTGGGGACAGAGACATGTTAAGGTTAGTAACGTTTTAAATTGATAGTAACCTAAATGCATAAGTATATAAATCTTATGTGTCCATAAGATGAATGTTTACAATTTTAGAGTTCCATGTAACCACCCTGCAGATGAACATAGATCTTTTACAGGTCCCCCAGCCCTTCCTATCCCCGACCCCAGAAAATTTCCCTCGTGACTCTCTCCAGGGTGTCCTTCTCCCTCCCCTGGGGAACCACTGCTCTGACTTATATCATCACGGAGTAGTTCTGCCTTTTTTTTGAATATTTGCATATATCTTGTGTCTGGCTTCTTTCACTCGGCATGATGTCTGTGAGATGCATCTGTGTCGTGTGCATCCAGGAGCTGGAGCTCTTTTTTTTTTTTTCTCCAGTGTGGAATAACACATTCACTGAGCACTTATCACTAATCTAAGAACATGTGACATGTGTTGATGCTTCTCAACCTCCCAACCCTATGAGGTCTTAAGACAAAGAATTGGAGGCACAGAGAGGTTAAGGAACTTGCCCAGGATTACCCAGCCAATTAATAGTGGAGCCAGAGTTCAAAAGCAGGTAGTCTGGTTCTGGAGCCGAAGTTCTTAACACTATGCCATGTGGCCTCCATTATACCTACTGGGTCTGTCCCTGGCTTTGTGTGGATTAAATAGATTTACGTGAACTCCCAGGTATGGGGTGCCTGGATGTAGATGGAGGGAGAGAGAGGAAGGAGTTGAGGATGACTGCAGGTTTCTGGCTTGAGTGACTGGGTGGGTGGTGGGGCTGTTACTAAGATAGGGAACACAGGAAGAGGAACAGATGGCATGGGGGGTGGGGAACAGAGACAAGGGGTTCGATTTGGGGCCTGCAGAATTTTATGTTTCTAGGGGATAGCTGGGCGGAGACACCAAGTGGGCAGCGGGTCCTGGGGGATCTCAGGCTGGGAGTGTGGTGAAGGAGGCGTTCACGGCCCTGTAGATGGCATCTGGAACCTGGGAAAGGATGGGGTCTCTTGGCAGGATGCAATGGGGACAGGATGTGTGGGTGGTGTTTGTCCATATGTGTGTTTCCGTGTGGTCTGTGCATGTGTGTACACGTGTGTATGCCTGCCTCTGGGTCATGAATCCCCCACCTCCTGGGAGAGCCTGCAGGTCAGCTGGGAGCTGGGTTGTTTTTGTTTGTGGTTTGACCCTGCGGGGCGGGGGGGTGCCAAGCCTGAGAAACTACCCACGGAGAAGCCCCCGGAAACATCTGTGAGTCTTCTTCCCCCAGGCCCAGGGTGGGGGATTGGCCAGGGAGGGAGATTTTCTTGTTCTCTCACGCTTGCCTAGGGGAGGCTGTCCCTGGGGTAAACATTTTCCAGTTAGTAAGGTTGACAGCAAACCCTACAGGATTCGGGGACTTGGTAGGTGGCTGGGCAGAGGGGGAAGGAGTGCTTGGAAAGGACACCTGAGTAGAGGAGACCAAGACAGCCTTCTGGTTGGTTTTTCCTGTTCTCTCTCATTTCCTGTGATGGCAGTGGGGGAAGGGTTCCCCAGCATTGGGGCCTCGGCCTCAGCTTCAACTTCCTTTCCCTTTCCCTCTGGTGACCTCCCCGAAGGCCCAGCTGGAGCAACAGACACAAGGTAGCTGTACTCAGCGTTTGGGATTGAGTCTTCTGGGGCTTGCCAGACCTTGGGAAGGGCCATTATTCGCTGAAGCATTCCAGGGCGGGAGCCCCAAGTCTCTTCTGCTTGGATAAGGCCAGCCAGCTGTGGGAGTGAGTCTCTGGTTATACTTCTGCTGAAGGCCGAGACTCTCACACGGGAGACAGTGTTGTGTTGTGGGGTGCTGCATGTCACGAAGCCACAGACAGGAGAGACTTTGGACATTAGGATCAAATGAGATGTGGAAGAGACAGCCTGAGTGGCTGTGGTCACACAGGCCTGGAGGCAGGAGACTTCTTGACAGTGGAGCGGGGGTTTCTAAGGGAAAGTCTGAGAAGCTCCCACACCGGGAGGGGAAGGGCTCAGAAACTACTCCGTCTACGAGTGGAGGCCAACGTCAAAGCCAGCCTGTTCCCCAGAATGCCTGGCTAGCCTGGAGCAAGGGCCCGCAGCCCTGCCTATGTGCAGGGTGGCGTGCCTGTGTGGGTGTGCTGGAGGAGGAGGAGGAAGCAGAGCCACCATACCATGGCCGTGCGGGCTGTGCGGGCTGGAGGGCGTACACACACAGGCACACAGATGCGAGCTGTGTGAATCACCCAGCCTGTGAGTCAGCCCCCAGGATTCCTGTCGGGGAATGAGTGAGACCAGGCTGAGGTCTGTCAGTCCATCTGTTGGTCTGTCTGCCTCCTTCCCCTGTTGGTGTGGATGCGTGTGTGTGTGTGTGTGTGTGTGGTAGGAGGTGGTGGGGAAGGTACCTAGTGCTTGGGAAGGCTTTGGGCAGAGGTGGGAGTTTGACGCATCAGGCCATGGATTTGAACATTAGTTTGGAGGGAGGGAGGTGCTGTGTCTTGTGCAGAGATCCTCCTGGAGACTGTCCTCCGCCACACAGCGCTCCACAGGCAGGGCTGGAGGGCAGAGGCCAGTTTCTGGGATGCCTTGGAGGGTCAGTGGGAGGGATGATGACCCTGGCTGGAAGCCTACCTGCTGTTGCCTGCCTGCCACTTAGAGCTTTCTCATTCCCACTCCAGGCTGTCTGTCCCCAGACCCCAGAGCACCTCCGGCACCACCATGACTGGGCTGTTGAAGAGGAAATTTGACCAGCTGGATGAGGACAACTCCTTGGTCTCCTCCTCCTCCTCTTCCTCTTCCTCTGGGTGCCAATCTCGCTCCTGCTCCCCAAGCTCAAGCTCTTCTGTCTCCCGTGCCTGGGACTCAGAGGAGGAAGGCCCCTGGGATCAGATGCCCCTGCCTGACCGTGACTTCTGTGGCCCCAGAAGTTTCACCCGTGAGTCCTCCCTCCCCTGGGAATTCCATCACCTGCCTTCCTTCCTGAAAGATGAAATTTAGAGGTCCTTGACAAAATGCCTTTGGCCTCTGGAGGTCACGTCCCCATGGAGGTAGCTCTCATGAGCTGTGATACAGTGGTCACTCAGTGCCCACTGTCCAGGGGCACCTGAGCCCAGCTAATTCACCTTTGACCTTGGGAGTAATGACATCCAGGATGCAGCTCTGCAGAGTGCCCTCAGGGCCTTCCCGGCCTGGCCCCTCCCTTCTGTTCCAGTTTCGTTTCTCCAATGAGCACCCTACCCTCCTACAAATGGAACTGCTGGAGTTCCCCGCCCGCCCCATGCTTCTCTGCCATGGGGCCTGTCAAGCCGGTCCCTCTCCTGTCAAGATGCTGTCCATTTTGCCTGAACATAGTGAAAAGGGGTTTTTCCTGGTTATTTTCAAGCTTGCATAATTGTGATTCCAGACTGATGAACGTGGCCCTAGAGCAGTGTTTCTGGACCTTATTTTTCATTATTGTTCCCCAGGAAGCCTATTAAGACATTTTCTCCTTAATTTCCCCCCCCACCATGAAATTTTAATACAATAGATGTGCTGTTTACCTTTTTATGTACTGTATGTATATCTGTGCATTACACATAAAAAGAATATCATTTTTAGCACATGTGATCTAACAGTATAAACAGAAAACCTTTTAGAAGGGAATTCCCTCTGGTAGCTGGGTATAAAATTAATACAGTAAGTTGAAATATATGGAATTTCCAATATTTCACCATTACATGGTAATTTATTATGGTTCAACCTAATGAAAATACCAGTACGTAGCTTACTAATCAATAAATATTAACTTGTAAAGGGAAAGCCTTTTTAAGCCTGTTGCAGAACACAGAAATCCTACAAATCAATAAAAAACAATAGAAAACTGTACAAAGGACCTGTACATGGCTAATAAACATAGCAAAGATGTTTAATCTTACAAATACTGTCATTTAAACTGGAAAATAACAATAAGCCAATGCTGACATGGGTGTGATGTTCAGTTTCAGCTGCTCCAGTCCCAGCCACACAGGCTCCTAAATTCACATTTCTTTTTTCAAAGTGGGCGGAGAGGGAGGAGGGGGAAGGTGGGAGGCGGGAGGGCAGTCTGGCATGATCTTCCTGGAGGTATGTTGTGCCTCACTGAAAACTAATTCCCAGCATCTTTGCCTGCTTTCCAGCCCTGTCTATCCTGAAGCGGGCTCGCCGGGAGCGCCCAGGCCGTGTAGCCTTTGATGGGATCACCGTCTTCTACTTTCCCCGTTGCCAGGGCTTCACCAGTGTGCCCAGCCGTGGTGGCTGTACTCTGGGTATGGCCCCTCGCCACAGTGCCTGCCGCCGCTTCTCTTTGGCTGAGTTTGCACAGGAGCAAGCCCGTGCACGGCACGAGAAGCTCCGCCAGCGCTTGAAAGAGGAGAAGTTGGAGATGCTGCAGTGGAAGGTAGAGAGAGCCCTCTCCGTGGCCCGCCTCCTAAGGCAGTTCCTGGAGTCCTAACCTCGAGGGGTGGGTGTACCAGGGGTGGGTGCTGACTTGCTCATTATGTATATGGGGAAACAGGCCTGTGGGCCTAGTGATTGGCTTGATTGGAGTCTGTTGCCTGGGTTGTCTGCAAACAGGAGGCACAGAGGAGGGCTTGTGTCTATTTGCTGCAGGGGCTGGGGGCATGATACCTGAATCTGAACTTGAACTTTTTGGAGAGGGGGATGTGAAGCTGATATGAATTAGGGGGGTGCGTATCTGTCTGGTTAGGAAAGGGAGTCTGTCCATGATCTAGGGAATGCCATGAGTAGGATATCTCTTTTTTTTTTTTCCAAATGCCCTGAGGACTGTATTCTTGGCTGTCCTGTTCACTGTCGTACACACAGTGCCCATCACAGATTAAGCACGAGTAGTGGGAGGGTAAGCACATGGGGAGGGTTTGTCTAGTGACAGTAGGGCTAAGCCCATGTCCACGTCTGTACCTCTCACATACCTCTTTCCTGTGGATGCAGCTTTCGGCAGCCGGGGTACCCAAGGCAGAGGCAGGGCTACCACCTGCGGTGGATGCCATTGATGACGCCTCTGTGGAGGAGGACTTGGCAGTCGCTGTGGCAGGTGGCCGGTTGGAAGAAGTGAGCTTCCTACAGCCCTACCCAGCCCGGCGACGTCGAGCTCTGCTGAGGGCTTCGGGCGTGCGAAGGATCGATCGGGAGGAGAAGCGAGAGCTGCAGGCACTGCGCCAATCCCGGGAGGATTGTGGCTGTCACTGCGATAGGATCTGCGACCCTGAGACCTGCAGCTGCAGCCTAGCAGGCATCAAGTGTCAGGTGTGGTGGCTGGACTGGGCTGGGATGGGGAACCTGAGCATGGGGACTTCTTTGCACTCCACAGTAATCCTCACTTGTACCTCTACTTTCTGTGCAGATGGACCACACAGCATTCCCCTGTGGCTGCTGCAGGGAGGGCTGTGAGAACCCCATGGGCCGTGTGGAATTTAATCAGGCGAGAGTTCAGACCCATTTCATCCACACACTCACCCGCCTGCAGTTGGAACAGGAGGCTGAGAGCTTTAGGGAGCTAGAGGCCCCTGCCCAGGGCAGCCCACCCAGCCCTGGTGAGCAGGCCCTGGTCCCTGCTTTCCCACTGGCCAAGCCCCCCATGAACAATGAGCTGGGAGACAACAGCTGCAGCAGCGACATGACTGATTCTTCCACGGCATCTTCCTCAGCATCAGGCACTAGTGAGGCTCCTGACGGCCCTACCCACCCAGGCCTGCCTGGCCCTGGCTTCCAGCCTGGCGTGGATGACGACAGCCTGGCACGGATCCTGAGTTTCAGTGACTCTGACCTCGGCGGGGAGGAGGAGGAAGAGGAGGAAGGGAGTGTGGGGAACCTGGACAACCTCAGCTGCTTCCATCCAGCTGACATCTTTGGTACTAGTGACCCTGGTGGCCTGGCCAGCTGGACCCATAGCTATTCTGGCTGTAGCTTCACATCGGGCATCCTGGATGAAAATGCCAACCTCGATGCCAGCTGCTTCCTAAATGGTGGCCTTGAAGGGTCAAGAGAAGGCAGCCTTCCTGGCAACTTAGTGCCACCCAGCATGGACGCTGGCCAGAGTAGCTCAGTGGATCTCAGCTTGTCTTCTTGTGACTCCTTTGAGTTACTCCAGGCTCTGCCAGATTATAGTCTGGGGCCTCACTACACATCACAGAAGGTGTCTGACAGCCTGGACCACATCGAGGCACCTCACTTCCCCCTGCCTGGCCTCTCTCCACCTGGGGATGCCAGCAGTTGCTTCCTGGAGTCCCTCATGGGCTTCTCCGAGCCAGTCGCTGAAGCCCTAGATCCCTTTATCGACAACCAGTTTGAGGACACTGTCCCAGCATCTCTAATGGAGCCTGTGCTGGTGTGAGGACCAGGATGCCTTTTCCCAGCCCCAAGGGACCTGTTGCTGCTTTCTTGTAATTGTGGGGCTCCCCAGAGTCTCTGTAACAGTCTCCCACTGGCTGGCTCACTCACAGGTGCCATGCGCACACTCCTGGTTTTCATACAGTTCTCTGGATTTATTTATTTGTTTTAACTTTTCTGTGCTGAAGAGAGGATTGGGGGGAGGGGCTTCCCGTTTCAGCTGCCCGGACCCCCACACCCACAGTTTGCTCTTCCATCTCCACAATGTGAGCCTGGAAGAGGAGAAAATGTGGCTCCTCTGGAGCTTGGCAGACCACTTTTCGGTCTTTGCATGATGTTCCTTAGCCCAAAGACGGTGAGACAGGGCTGAAATCAGGTGGCTTCTGCCATGCTGAGCCCTAGACCCATGGGTGGCTAAATCCTCTGGACTGTGAAGACTATAATTTATTTCCATAATTTATTTGGAGATTGAGGAGGCTTTGGTTGCACCTCTCTGGCTGGTGGGTAGTGCCGGGGTGGGGTGGGCACAGGCCCTCAAGGAGCCCCTTTTGCCTTGTAGTCTTATACCTTGCCCTGCCTGGGCTTTGGTGCAGACTGGGTGTGGATTTGAGCTCTATGATCTGTGTTTGCTGCCTGGCTCCTGGATGGCTATGCAGGCAGGTGCTGGCCAAGGACATCATCTAGGCAGGGGGAGAGGCTGGGCTAACCAGCTGTGACCAAAACTCCCTTCTGCCCCACCCTGCCCCCTCCACTTCCTGCCCTCTGTTCCATCTTCCCCTTCCCCAAAGGCCGTAGCCTTTATTCCAGGCCCAGGGATGTAGGAGGGGGAAGGAGGAAACAGGAGGCCCAGAGAGGGCAAAGGGCCTACCTCGGGCGCGAACCATGCCCCAGACTATTATCTCAGGGCTTTCTGGGCACTGCACTTTGGCCTGGCCCACCTGCCCATGCCCTGAGGCCATTTGGTGAGGGGTGGCTCCTGAGAGCTTTTATACCCTTTGTTTGCTAATGTTTAATTTTGCATCATAATTTCTACATTGTCCCTGAGTGTCAAAACTATAATTTATTCCATTTCTGTGTCAGTGCCAAGAAACGCAGGCTCTGGGCCTGCCCCCTTGCCCAGGAGGCCTTGTCAGCCTGTGTGCTTATGGGAACACCTTGTACCTGAGCTTACAGGTACCAATAAAGAGGCTTTATTTTTAACAATGTGGTCTGTATTTCTGGGGTGGGAAGCAGGGGTACACCCTCAGGGGAATTGGGGATGGGGGGACAAGCCCTGCAGAGGGCAGTATGGACACAGGCTGTGTCGGGGGCTAGAAGTAGGCATACCCAGCATATTGGGCCTCTTTCCAGGCAAGCCAGTCAAGTTGGAGGCAGGAAGCCAGCTGAGAGGCTGACCAGGCAGATAGAGCACTTTTTCCTTTGGATTAACCTGTTCCTCTACAGTGGTGACCTGGGGTGGTGGGGAGGAGCAGCAACAGGGTCTTCTGACAGGGGGCCATCTGCTGGGGATGGTTGAGGGCACCCTTCTTCCTACACACCCACACTGAGCTGAGGCCTTGTCCTGAGGGTGAATTCACCAACCTGGATGGAGGCAGGGCAAGGGGATGTGCCTGGTCAAGGCCTGGTGATGGCCTTACATAACAGCTGTGGTCCATGAGGACTTGAGCCAGGGGGTCAGCGGGAAGGGCAGGGGGGAAGCTGCAGAACCTCATCCATCTGCACCAGCCAGACCTGTCTGACCTGTCCCTGGCAGCTCAGCTGGGCTGCAGGCCAGAGGAGTAGGCCACACCCTGCTCTGGGGAGCCCCAGTCTGGAGGCCTGAGAAAGATTGACTTCCCCCTTAGGAATGATAGTGATTTGTACAAGAGCTGGAAGGAGGAACTGCCAGAGGAGAACTGATTTGGGTTTCCTCGCTCTAATTCCCTGCCTTGGTCTGTACTGGGCTCACTCATCTCTTTGGCTTGACTGTTAAGAGCACAGAGCCAGAATGCTGGGCTTGAATCTTGGATTTTCTACTACCTAGTGAGGTGATTTATGCGAATTACTCCATCTGTGCCTGGGTGTCCTCGATACTGCATGCAAATAGTGACACTACTCACCTCATAAGCTTGTTTAGTTCATATTTACAAAGCCCTTAAAGAGTGCCTGGAACATGCAAGTCCTGTGTACGTTTGCAACTTGCATCAATTTTCATGTTTCTGCCATTCTTTCTCTGTATGTTTAATCCTTTCTTTTTTGCCTGTCCTGTCACCCTTTAGGTATCTGTCTCTTGCCTCTGGACAGGCATGGACATGACCACATGGCTGTATCAGTGCCATTAGAGGACTCATGCTTTGGAATCTGGCCTGTGGTGGGGCAGTATGTCCCTGTAACCAGCTTAGCTAGGAATAGCTAGGCCTTTGTCTTCTCGGGGTAAAGTGCCCCGGTACACTAAGTTGTTCTGTTTCTTCTTCACTGGTGCCTGGAGACCCTTTTGTAGAGATTACTTCAGCATGCACAGTCCAAAACCTGGGTTCTTCCAAGGGCTCTCAGGGTCACTCTGACTGGCCTGGTGGTCTGGGTGGCAGCCCTCAGCTCCAGTACTCTGGCAGGAAGCCCCAACAGGCTTCCGCCCCATGGACTCAGCCCAAGGCTGGACGGAGGCCTGCCTAGTCCCATCTAGGGCCACAGGGTTCTTAGTTTTTGTTTCTTTGTTTTTAGATAAATGAAGACAATCTAGGTTTTACAGCAAAAACATGATTAATACACAATCCCTTTACAGGATCATTCTCCATATAGATAGACCTGTCAACAAACCTGTCCCAACAAAACTAGGTTGTAAAGCAGATCACAGAAAGGGGACTGAGTTTTCCCATAGGAAAGATGGTAGTAACCTGGGGAAAGCATTCCAGATCCCCAGCTTCTATCAACAAACCATACATGTGATCAGCAGTGTGTTATAAAAACGAGGCTCAGCAGCCATCCGAGTTACACTGTTCCAAAGGGACCCTTATCTGTCCACTGTTCCCAAACCTTAGTCACTGGACAACTGCTCTTGAAAACTCTGCCCATATCTGCATTCTACTTACTCTAAATAATTTTTCTTCAAATATATCAGTATGCTTAAAAGTTAAACCCATCCCATGGAACAGCACCCGTAAATTCCTGACTTTGCTGTGCTACTTGGTTTTCTATGTAAAAATGATGTGTAAGCACACCGTTATTAAACTTTAAAATGTTTGCTGTATATCACTGGCAGAGAGTTGTGCCATGATTTGGGAGACATCTAATTTCCTGCCACAAATGGGGACACTAAGACCCAGAGAGGGGAAGGGACCTGGGAAGTCCACATTCGGAGATCCTAGGCTTCCTGACTGTCCTGAGGCCAGACTGTCCCATTATTGGCATCCTTAATGACATCAAGGAAGAGTGGTATTGGGAGCACAGCAAAGGTGCCCTCTGTCACCCTCTTGCCAGTTGCAGTTAACATTATTCATCTAAATAGGAACCACTGCATTTGCCCTCTTAGACATTAAAAGGGTTTCTGTAGGATGTTAGATGGCCAGTGTCTTTTGTAAAAGCTGAAGTGGGAACTATTTTTTCTTGGAATGTATTTCCTTGTGCCAGGCGAGGGTAGTCAGGTTTGTCCCAAACTGGTAAGGACCAGAAGAAGCCAGCTGGACTTGGTGGGGAGTAGGGGGGAGGTGGCAGGGGAAAGGGAAACAATGCATGGACAGGGTGGGACAATGGCCCTTGCACCCTGCAGGCTCTCTCACACAGGACCTTTTGCAGCTGATCCTCCTGTCTGGGCACACTGCCCACAGCATCCTGGGCCCACCGCCAGGCAGACTCAGAGGGTAGCATGGAAAGGAGGAGTAATTGCTTCTCTAGCTCCAGGATCCTGGAGACCAGACAGGAGAAGGGCAACAACCATTGAAAAATAGCTGAAGGGGATCCTTTTCAACCACCATTCCACTAGAAGCCCCCTCTTTGCTCCCCTTTGCCCCCTCAAAGAGTCTGGGATAAAAGCGAGGTCTGTTAGAAAGCACCCAATGAGCCCAGCAAAAGTTAAGCCAGTTATGTCTTTCTTCCCAGAGCAACATTTCTTGTGCCTTAAAAACATAAAGCTTTGGGATGACCCTTAGGTCAGATGAAACATGATTCAAAATAAACCACATACACTATAGTAATGGGGAAGAATGTGTCATTTTCTGAATCCCTTCTCCACTGACCCACTTTCCATCCCTCCACACAACTTCAGTAGGTTGATGGCTTCTACTGCAGGCCCCTTGACCCCAGCTAGGGCCTCAGGGACCTTCGGGCCTTTTCCAAAATTTCCTCCCTGATCTTGGGGTAGTTGGGGTGCTCCCTGAGGACCTGGAACAGAGAATGGGTATGCAGTATCAGGCAGGGTTCCCTACCACTACACCAGGCCCTCCCCGCCAAGGCTGCTGGCTTACATCGTGGCAGATTTCGATGGCCTCCACAAATTTCTTGTCCTTCAGGTAGTTGAAAGCAAGTCTGAAGCCTACCAGGGGCATGGAGAGCATAGATGGTGGCACCCTGGTGACCTGAGAACCCCTATGGTTCTCATAACAGCCAGGGTACAGGCCTTGAGTTCTGGGGTCATGGTGGGGATCCTCCTGCCCACCTCCCTCCCACGTCCATTCATGTGCACCCTGGCTGGTTGCCTTACCAATGGCAGGGTTGGCGTGATGACTGTACTTCCAGGCCAGTTTGTAGTTGGTGACTGCATCCTTGTAGGACTGCTCCTTCTCCATGATGAAGCCCATGTACTCATAGGCCTTGTAGCAGGACTGCAGGGAAAGCCAGTTAGAGCCTCTGCTGGTTCCCTGGGCCAGGGTGGGACTAGGACCAGAACCAGAAGCAGGCAAGGGACAGAAGTGAGCTGCCATAAACCAAACTGCCAAGGGACCTCAGGGGTACCCCAACCTTTGCAACAAGCCAACTGTGTGCCCTCCTCTCAGCTACCCCAGACACTGGTGTAACCCCTTTCCCTGCAGCCCTCCTGTTCCGCCACTCCCATTCCTGGCCTGCTTTAACCTGCAAAAGTCCCTCCAGGTTGGAACCCTTGAAACTTTCCCATCTTTTTCTGTCATTTAGTGTTCCCTCCTCTGGACATGACACGACCCTGTGTACCTCCTCTTACCTAGTCCATTGCCCTTGATCCTCATTCCTATTCTGGTCTGTTGCCCATGTGCCCCTCTCAGCCTGCCTCTTCCTGACTAGTTATTCCATATGACCTCTGCCTGCAAAGCCTGCTTCACCTTCCTGGAATGCCTAGAACCCTTTCTGCCACCCTGCAGCCCCAGTGTGTGTGTGGCCCCTTGCCTTGTTGTACTGCACACAGCGCCGCAGCAGTTCTAAGGCGAGGTCAAACTTGCTGCCCTGGCAGTAAATGTCGGCCAGCAGGAGCCAGCTCTTCTCCAAGTCCTCAGCCTCACTCAGCACCCAGGGGGCCTTGGCCAGGCGCTTCAACTGCATACGTGCCTTGGGGATCTGCTTCAGGAACACATAGGCTTGTGCCAAGGCCAGCAAGGCAGGGACACTGTCCTTCTACACATCGGGTGGGAAATGGACGTCAGCATGCCTTGGCCGCCTGGTCAGCCTCGGCCCTGCCACCTGCCCATGCCCGCCAGTCCCCACCAGCCGCACCTCAGCCTGCGCTATCTGGATGAAGCTGCTCAGTGCAGCCTCCATGTTAGCCTTCTCCTTGGTGGCCAGCCTGCAGAGGCCCTGCAGCAGCCGCAGCTGGGTCTGGCTGGAGGCTGAATTCGGGTAAAACTCACGCAGCAGTTTCTCGGCGGTGCTCACGCCCTGCTGTTCCAACTCCTTCTTCTCTGTGTAGCTGCAGGTGTTAGACTTGGGTGTCAGACACAGGCAGGTGGCCTGCCTGTGTGGCCCTCACCTGGCTTCAACCCAGAGGCTGCAGGCTCTCTCTAACTTCCCCAAGGTTCCGCCTCTGCCTTCACGGGCCCTTACTTGCTCTCGGCCCCCTGGTTCTCAAAAGCCTCTCCGCCCACAACCTCATTGTCTGGATTCAGACAGATCTGCACCATGTGGTAGATGGCGCTCTGGCCCCAAGTGCTGTCCTTGCGTGCCTTGTTCAGGAACTTTAAGGCTTCGTTGGGCTGCCCTATGTGCCTGTAGTGGAGAAAATACCAAGAATCAGTGAGGGAAACTGAGGCCCAGACAGGGCAGAGATATACAAGGGCCACTTTGTGAGTCTGCACAAAGCAGAGGCTGGATCGCTGGTTTCCCAGTTCCTCTGGAGGAGACGCAGGCGTCGGACCTGGGTGTCGGATGCAGGCCAGTGGCCTGCCCAAGTGGCCCTCACCTGGCCTCCATCCAGAGGCTGCAGGCTCTCCCCGACTTCCGAAGGGTTCCACCTCTGCCCCTGTGGGCCCTCACTTGCTGGGCCTGGGTGTCCTGGAGGCAGAATTTCTGCTCCCTTTGTGCAGCGCAAGGGCCTAGCCTATCTGCCAGTAGGGCTTCCTGCACACAGCTGCCCCTCAACACACCACACCCAACTCACCAGCAGTAGATACCTCTGCAGTAGTTGAACCCTGGTTCCAAAGGCACCCGGCTGGACACCTTCTTGGCCAATTCAAAAAAGGCAGGAATGTCTTCAAGTTTACCACTTCTTCTTAGCAGATCAATTAATTTATTCAATACCAAAAAATTGTCTAAAATAAGAGACAGAAATCTCCAGGCTGAGATGCCCAGTAGCTGTATCAGATGAGGGTGCTGGGCCCCTAGGAGAGGCCAAGAGATACTGCCCATCTGGGCTGAGCAGGGACATTCCAACAGTTCCAGGGTTGAGTAAAGAATAATACTAATGCTTAAAAATAGTAAAGAATAGCAGCTAACACTTACATAGCACTTATATTGTACCTGGTATTAAGTGCTTCACCTATACATTAACTGCAAGATTAGGTAGGTACCTAATCTTTTTTTTTTTTTTTTTTTTTTTGAGACGGAGTCTTGCCCTGTTGCCCAGGCTGGAGTGCAGTGGCACGATCTTGGCTCACTGCAAGCTCCGCCTCCCGGGTTCATGCCATTCTGCTGCCTCAGCTCCCCGAGAAGCTGGGACTACAGGTGCCCGCCACAATGCCCGGCTAATTTTTTAATATTTTTTGTAGAGACAGAGTTTCACCGTGTTAACCAGGATGGTCTCAATCCCCTGACCTCGTGATCCGCCCACCTCAGCCTCCCAAAGTGCTGGGATTACAGGCGTAAGCCACCGCTCCTGGCCTAGGTAGGTACTCTTACTGTATCTGTTTTACAGATGAGGACACTGAGACATGGATAAATAATTTGCCGAAAGTTGCACAACCAGTAAGTGGTAGACCAGGACTCAGACCCAGGCAGCCTGGCCCCAGGACCCATACTCCTAACCATGGTGACCTCCTGGGCCTATGGGCACACTGCCATGGGCCTGCCAGGGCTCCAACCTGAGCCTTAGGTCTGGCCCCTCTCCCCAGCAAGAAGGGGTGGTTTTATGCTGCAGTGAATGGGAATGAAGCTATAAAACAGAGGAGAATTTCTAGTCTCTCCAAGTGGCTGTGACCTCAAAAGGGGACTGTGTCGAGCCCCACTGGCTGTGATTTGGGGACAGACATGCTGTCCTGGGTCCAGTGCCAAGTCCTTGAGACCAGGAACTGGCCCCTTGGACTCGGGAAGGGCCGGCACGTTCCATTGGGTCTTTATCAGTTTCCTGCTTCTCTGGAACAATCAGGGAGGAAGGGGCTTCCTCCGCCCAGTCAGGAAGGAGGGAGAGGTCCCACCCTTTTCTGGGAGAGTGGCCCTTGCTCAGTGGGAACTGGTGCAGGCAGTCTCCATGGGCAGAATTACCTGGCACTTTCTCCAAGACTTGGTGGTAAAGATTGATGGCCGCTTCATGTTTCTGTTTTCTAAACATCAGGTCAGCCATCAACTATCAGAAAACACACAAGCTCCAGATTTCCCAACAGTGGCAGCTTGCATGGGTGTAAGGGGAGGCGGGGGGTATGGGGGTGATGGTGGTGGTAGGAAGGGAAGGTAGAAAAGGACTTGCAAGGCAGCCTCCCCAGGCCTTGTGAGAAGCTGCCACAGGAGAAGCCTGAGGGTTTCTCAGGCCCCCACCCAGAAGGTGAGGACTTCCCAAGGTGGGGGGCAAGAAGAGCTGGGTTGAGGATGGATGTGGGAAGGTAAGGCCAGTGGTAGAGACCAGTGGGGCTTTTTGATAGCCTACAGGGAAAGCCTCTCCACCCGTTCTGAGAACTGCCAGGCAATAGAGGTAGGGATGAGGACCCCTCCTTGTTCTGCAAGGGCTCAGCTTCTGCTCCTGGGCCAGCCCTGGAGGAGGTCTGGATGATAGGGAGGAGAGAGGCAGAACTGGGGAGGGCTTTTCCTGAAGCCCCAGGAACCTATCCCATCCTTGCCTTCACCTACAGTGGATGTGCTTTCCCCTGGGGTGAATCAACCTCACCCTACCTTAGACTGGCCCAGGAGGTTGATGCTGCCCACTGCCAGCCAGCCCACCCCTTCCGGCTAAAGGGCAGAGTAGGTGCAGCACTGAGTCCTCTCTGCCTGACAGCTCATCAGAGGTGTGTCAGTGAGGCATCTGAGGTTATGGGGCTATGGGGCTAGGAAGTAGCCTGCATCTGGTCACAGGGACCCTGGGAAGGGAGGAAGGGAGGAAGAGAGGGAGGGAGTGGGTGCTGGGGGCTTCCTACCACAGAAGCAGTCTCATGGTTCTGCTCAGTCTGCAGGAGGATGGCACAGTGCTGCTCACACAGGTCCAGGTGCCCCTGGAGCAGGTAGAGCTGCGCCAGCTCCAGCATCACCTGGGACAAGGCCGGACATCATAAACTAACTAGTAAATACCATGGGAAACCCCTGGGATCATCCTTGACAGCTCTTCTCCTCACACCCCACTTCTATCAGCTCTGCTTTCAAAATATGTCTCAGATTCCCCAAGTGAACATCTCTGGCCTTCCCCTTCTCCCACTCAGTTCTCCAGTCATACCCTGTGTCTTACTAACCTCTGAAAGTTGGGCCAAGCTAACACATACTCATCCTTCAGCTTCAACTCTGGCCTCACTGCTCTGAGAGTCCTCTGTGCCCCAGATTCTGGGGCAGGTACCATTCCTCCAAGTGGTGCCCTGCACCCCCATGCAGGCATGTATTGCCTGGCATTAGTGCTGCCTGTGCTCTCGTCTACATGCCCTTACCCAAGGGTAATCTGTGGGCAGTGACCAAGCCTTGCCCCACTGTGTCTCCAGAGCCGGGCACAGTACTTGCCACATATTAGATTAGGTATCTGTTAAATGAATGAGTATTAAATGAATGAATGGATCTGTCACTAAGCTCTTCATCTACTGTGTTGGCATGAACTCCAACTACGGTTCCCTTATCTGGAGCCACACCTCCCTCACAACTCTAGGCCCTCTTGGAAGCTCAGCCTGCACTTCATGCCCAAAGTGCCCTGGCAGCTACAACCCTCATCATCTCCCCACCTCCAAGGGGGACTTGAAAATGTCAGACTAATGTGACTTTCAGCAATGTCTTTCCCACTATACCCTTCACATTTGGCTATCCAAGGTGAGCCTTGCTCCAAGGGCTGCAGCAGGTGAGGTCCCAGGTCAGCAGGAGCAGGCACCTTACCCCAGAGGCCACTGTTAGCTGGCTTCCCATGCCCATCATATCTGTGACTCCTCAGGGAAGAATGGAGAAGGAACTGGCCCCTGCACCTGGTCAGGGAGCTCAGCAAGGCATTGTGCCCTGAGGGAGAAAGCAGCCTCTTGCTTTGAGGGTCACTCACCTTATTGTCAGTGGGCAAGTAGGAGAAGACATCCTTATAAGACCGTACCGCCTTGTCATACTCTTTCTCTGCCAGGTAGTGCTCTGCAAACTGGATGCAGATAGAGGCTGCCAGTTGCTTCTGGGAGGGGATCATTTCTGGTTGCTCCAGTGGAACTCGCTTCAATATCCGAGACTGGAGGTCCAAGGCCTTGGGAAACCAATCAAGCCAGGATCAGAAACTCAGAGCCTGACATACCAGTTCAGAGAAAGTACCAAGCTCTTAATTCAGATCCAGAAGTATGAAAAATGACATCTTCAGTGCCCTTGGGCAAATTTGGATCACTCTGAATAGGCAAAGCCACTGGCTGAGTACACGAGACAAGCTGGCACTGCCTCTGGGGGTAGGAGCAGAAGCAAAGGCACTCAAACAAAACATGCTTTTGTACTTTGCCTGTTTACCTGCTTCCATCACACCTTGAGGCTCTATGTCTAATTCGCTTCGCTACACTACAGGCTAGAACTAGCACACAGTAGGTGCCCAAGGCACACAGTAGACTGTTCTGTTCTGTATGCCGCCCTACTGGGAATTTGAGGACGCAGCCACAAATATTCACCACACAAATGATCAGGTGAGTAAGCAGAGAACATCAGTGCAAGAGGAAATGATGATGCCAGGGTTAAGCTGTAGGACATGGGTAGGAATCAGCACTTGGCTCCCCGAGGGCCAAAAAGAGGAATGGGAATCCAGTGGTACACAAGGGGATAAATCATCTCAAACAGTCAAGAGTGTGGGCTCTCCCTCTAGAACCACAGAGCATACTCCAGAAACAAGTTTGAGGCCACATCCCTAGGGGAAAAAAGTGAGGAAGATGTGACAGGAATGGCTGGGGGCTCTCAGATCAGGGGCAGCCCAGTGTGCAAAGAACATAGGTTGGGACAGGCCAGACCTGGCTCAGATCTCAGCTCCACCACTTGCTGGTACAGTCACGTGCTGCATAACATTTCAGTCAATGACAGACCACATATATGATGCTGGTCCCTGAAGATTATTACACTGTATTTTTACTGTACATTTTCTATGTTTAGCTATGTTTAAATACACAAATACTTACCATGATGCTACAATTGCCTAGAGAATTCAGTAGAGTAACGTGCTGTGCAGGTTTATAGACTCAAAGCAATAGGCTATACCAGATAGGCTAGGTGTGAAGTCAGCTATACCATCTGAGTCTGTAGAAGTATATTCTATGATATTCACACAACAAAATCATATCCCTGCTGATAAGCAACATATGACGTTGCTGTGGTTTGAATGTGCCCCCCAAACGTCATGTGCTTTTCTGGAAACTTAATCCCCAATGTGGCAGTATGGAAAGTTAGGGCTTTTGAGAGGTGATTGGATCATGAGGGATCTGCCCTCATAAATGGATTAAACCACTCGTGGATGAATGGATTAATGGGTTATCATGGGAGTGGAACTCGTGGCTTCCTAAGAAGAGGATGAGAGACCGGAGCAAGCATGTTAGCACAGTTGGTGCCCTCCGCTCCCCATGTGATACCCTGCACTGCACTCTTCAGAGAGTTCCCCTTCTCCTGAGCAGAAAGGATCTCACCAGATGAGATCTCACCAGATCTCCTCCACCTTGAACTTCTCAGCCTCTAGAACTGTAGGAAATGTATGAATTACCCAGTTTCAAGTATTCTGGTATATACCAACAGAATACAGACTAACACAACTGAACCCAACTTTGGGCACATTGCTCAACCTCCTAGAGACTTATCTGTTACATGGGAATGTCACAATGCTTATTACAAAGGGCTACTGTGGTCATTCAATAAGAAAGCAAAAACCCTACAGAACCTAGCACAGAGCTTTTAATGCATGGGAGCTATTGTCATTGCCTCATTATTATCTCTACCATCACCCTTGAGGACAAAGGCACTCTCTTCCTTCCTGCCTTCCCCAGCCCACCCTAGCTCAGAGCACATTAGTGTACCGTCACTGAATGAACCAGAAGGGGAAAATAAGTGAAGGTGGATGTCAGAGGTGTAACCTAGGTCCTTTTTTGAGGAAGAGGTCTGGGGCTTTACAGACCTGGAGCTCTTTCCTTTCTCCTTCTTCAGACCCCACCAGCAGATGGCAGATAAAGAGCTTGAGTCCACTTGTCAATTACCTTGTTCAAAGTTTCTATCACAGCTTCTTTTTTATGGCTCTCGTAAACCTTTGCCAGCAAAAGCAAGCACTTAACATCATTCATCATGGATGGGATGTCTTGGACTGTTAAACGGAAACTCAAATTAGTGTTAGTTTGCTGTTTCCTGGGAAGCTGGGTTGGTGGGGAGGGCTGGGTTCAGGACTTCAGCTAATGGGGAATGGGGGAGGAGTATGTCTGCTCCAAATGCTAGAAATAGGTTAGAATGCTGCCTCACCAATGTCATGTTCCAGTGCCTGCTTCAAAACTTTTTCTGCTTTATTGATCTTCTTTAACTTTAGGAGCAGTTCGGCCAGATCGCAGCACAGAAAGTCCTGTCCATTAATCTTCTGGGCAGCCTCATAATACTCAATTGCCTTAGTGCAAACAATAAATATTAGCCTCTGGCCTAGTTCTGCACTTCAGTGCCAGACACCATGTTCCCCTCAGCAGCCATCACACCAGTGTGCCCCTCCAGAACATAGAAGCCTAAGGTGAAAAAGCACTCCTCCTACCTGGCACAGGGTGTAAGCCTCAGCTTGAGCAGGTGTGGTCAGCGGCAGAGAGTTGCTGAGTTCTCCCCTTGGCACCTCATTCAGCAAGGAGCTGAGTGAAAACTCAGCCACTCTCCTCCCATCCAGAGCTTCCCAGTCATGTACCGTCCTCCACCTTCCCTGCTAGGCTGGCCCTCCCTGCCCCTTCACACCCCAGCCCAGCCTGACCTCAGTATACTGGTGGGCCTTCACATAAGCTTGCCCAATTCTGCTGGCCAGGGAGGCATCGTGCGGGTTCTGTCTATAGGCCTCATCATAGACCTCCAGGGCCTTCTCGGGCTGGTGGGGAAAGTGTCTTTGGGTCTTCCTCTTCTCTGCCACTGGAGAAGGGAGACTGGGGGGCCACTTGGCAAGGCTGTGAGGCCTCTCACTTACCTCCAGAATGCTCATTAAAGCATCGCCCAGTAGCAGGCTGGTGTGGGGGCCAGGCAGATGTTCACAGAGCTCACTGCAAGCAAGAGTAACCAAAAGCTTATCTCAGGCTCGCACACACCTCATGTTCCTGAAATCATCTCCTTCACTTCCTTCCCACTGATTCTGGCTGATATTCATTCATTCAGCAATCAATACTTATAGAAAGTCCACTGTGCATGAGGCACTGTGTTAGCTACCTGAATCAGGCTCTCCACATCCATCTCTGTAGTTAGGCCATGGCCAGGCCCTCTACCTGTTCCTCTCACTCTACCCGCTATCCCTTCAGATCCCTCTCCATGAGGCAGCCACGTCACTCTTTCTAAAACTCCAATCTGGCCATGCCTCCATACTGTTCACTGGTTTCCCACTGCTGGATAGCCTTCCCTACTCCCTCAGCAACTGCACCTCCCACTTTAAATTGCTTAGATGAAGCTCTGCCAGAAGAAAGGGATGAGGAAGGCGCCTTGGAGGTCCCAATGCCAAATCATACAGAGACAGCAGCTTGGAGCTTCAGTGTGTCTGCTCTGAGAACCAGGCCTACAGTCTCCTACCAGTATGTGCAAGCAGGTAAGCGAAGCGGGGGTGCAAGCAGGGCTCAGGGCCAATTTAACTCTGTATCCTCAGAGCTCATCCATGAACAGGGCTTACTGACCTTTCATGCTCAAACTGTAACCCATGGACAATTCCATACATTCATCAACTACACTCCAAGGACACATTCTGGAGACCCAGGTTGAAGAAATAACATCTGAAGGAAACATTCTCTAAGATACCATCAGAGAAGAAGCTGTCATTGTGCTACCTGTGGGGCTTACCGGTAACATCTGATGTAGAGGCGCCTGTCTCTGAGGGTCTGCAGGTAGACGTTGGCCATCTTCTCTCTGGCTTCCATGTAGCAGGACTGCTTGGGCGAGATGTTCCTTAGCATGTTCAGTGCCACGTCCACATTACCCTTGCTCAGGACCAAGTCCACGTTGGCAATGGTGATGCGGTTCTCTTCTGGTGTGCCGCCAAACTCATTGATGGTGTCCTGCATGACCTTGGTGGCCTCATGCTAAAACATGGGAATCAAACAGACCCTCCACTTGGTGCACAAGGAAACAGTGGGTGGAACCAAAGAACCTGGTTCCTGGGCCTACCCTGAGCCTGCAGTGTGCCCCAGTCCCCAGGGAGGAGAGCATGGCATTTCTTACTAGCTCCCCATTCAGCCGGAGGGCCTCCACCAGTTCCAATAAGATGGATGCCCGCTGGCTGGTCTGCAGACAGGGCCCGAGGAACTTCCTGCCTTCTTCCTTCTTCAGAGCCGGCAATTTGATGACCATTTTCAGTGTCTTTATGGCTTCTGGATAGTCTCCAGCCTTGTTGAGAGCCCTGGCCTTGATGAGGTGGTAGAGGGGGTGATCTCGGACCTAGGAGGAGCACAGCAGAGTGTGGGGCTCCAGTTCACTGCTGCTACTGCTGCTGCTCACAGCAGCCAGGTCAGAGAAGGCCTCAGGAGCCCACTGAGCCTACCCCTGCCTTTGGACCAGCAGAAAGATCTGTGGGACACAGCTAGCCCCTGGGGCTACTCTCAGAAGGCAAACAGGAGCCGCAGCTAGCTGGGTGTTGGGATGCTGAGAGGATGACAGGGCACCCACCTGGAAGTTGTGGCTGACACCCAGCTCTAAGCAGTGGAAGCACATGCCAAAGTTGCCCTGAGCCAAGTAGATCTGACACATGAGGAGATGAGCGTCCACGGAGGCGGGGTCCAGCTCCAGGCAACGCTGCAAGATGCTCTGGGCGTTCTCTAGCTCTCCTAGAAATAATACACAAACCTCTACATGCAGGGTTCCCAAGGGGCTCCTAAGACCTGATATGCAAGGGCAGAATGAATTTTACATGTCCTGTTCTCCAGAAATATACAAAGTTGAGTATTTTAGCCAGTTTTGTTCTGCTTCACTCAGGGGTCCATTTCTAAAATTAAGACTACACAGTTGTTTCCTTGACTCCGACAAAAGCCAGGAAACTCAAACCTCAGTGTAACACCCTTCTTGTCTTTGTAACCCTCAGGGAGATAGCTAAGTTACTTCACTGCTCCATCCAGAAGCTCAGGGGAACATATTAAGTCTCAATTCCCACACCTAAGAGCAAACAAAACCTAGTAGTAACAGCAACTGTAATAGTTACAATTTATGAAGCTCCTGCTCTGTTTCAACACTTGCAAAGCACTTTAGAAAGTCTGATTTATTACTTGCCCAGCCCTGCAAGGTTGGTGCTATTGTTCTTGTTTTTTCAGATGTGGAACCTGGGGCTCCAGTGATGTAAGCCACTCAACTTGGAAGGGGCAAAGTTGGCATTTATGTCCAGACCTATTGGGTTCCTGAGCTTCAGCTCTGAACCCCCTGGCACTTGAGGGCTGAGGGGCCTCCCTGCAGACAGGCTGGCACTTACAGGGTGGTAGCAGCAGCCTAGGGGTTGGGTGTAGTGAGTTGGTAAGGGCACTCTCTTCCCTTGCAGTCAGGTCTCTCAACAACTCCTATTTGGGATCCATAACCTGGTGGGTAGGGAGCCCCTGCTTCTGGGTCCCAAGCTCCCTGCTCCTTCTTACGTGCTGTGGAAATGTGAAGAGGTCACCATGGCAACCTACGCAGCTGGAGACCTTGCTTTGGGCCCAAATCTGCTGGCAGATGCCAGCACCCAGGGTAAGTTCTCTCACCCTGGCCTTGTATCCAGGATACTCTGAAGCTGTGGGGAAACCTGGCATTCAAATGAACATAGGGAGGACCAAGGATGAAGACAGGAAAGCTCTCAGCACGAGTGCAACCCACACGATGCAATGCCAGAAGACAGACAAATGGCCACAGTATTCTGATCCCTTTGGACACCCCCAGACCACCAGAGATAAGCCTGGCTTCCAGGCAGGCAGGATGGGGTAAGAGGCCACAGGGAGATAGTACTTCAGGGGAGGGCTCTGCATCACAGAGGACAATAGAGCACTTATGGAAGGTTTTCCCTCTCCTTCCCTTTCTCTCCAGGGTCTGGGCCTGAGAAGGGAGAAGGTGAAAGGGCTCCTGGAGGCTCTGAAGACCTCATGGTACAGGGTTCTCACTTCTCCATGAGGCTTTTTTGGATAGCTTTTCGAAACTGCAACCCTGCCACCCCTGCATCACTTCCCTGCTTCAGCTTCTTCTATAGCATTACCATGTTCTAACAAAAAAATACGATGTGCTCCCTCGTGGAGCTTGCATTGAATTGTCAATTTCCCCTTAATAGATGCAAACTCCATGAGGGAATTTTTGCCTATTTTTGGTACTACTGTATCTCAGAAGAAGTTCAATGACTATTACCAGCACAGATCAAGTGAGTAAATCCACAAAGGCCTAGATGGGAGACACCCCTGCTGGTGAGAGGTCAGGGAGCTTACTAGGGTTACTAGGGGATAGAGGCTGGGAGTGGGCAGGCCTGTAGGGGCATGTGCCTGTGTGTGCACAAATGTACATGTGTGCATGTGCATGTGTGTGTGTGTGTAGTACCCCAAGCAAGGTGTGTGTGTGTGTGTGTGTGTGTGTGTGTGTGTGTGTGTGTTTGCAGTATCCCAGGCAAGGAGCCTGTGGACACAAAGCTCCATCAGGTGTTTGCAAGGCTCCACCTGGCTGTCAGGACCCCACCCCCGCTCACCTGAGTAATACCTGACCTGAGCCATCAAATACAGGGGGTCGATCAGAGCTGGTGCTGCTTTGACTACAGGATTCAAGATCACGGCGACTTGTTTAAGAAGTGGAGAGACGATCTGGCCTGGTAACCTGGGCTGTGGGAACACGGTGGTGGAGGTGGGAGTAGGTTTGCCCTATTCTAAGAGAGACTCCTGGAGCTCTCAGAAAACGCTCTCAGTGAAGGAATTTTGCTTCATTCCACACTTATTTATTATCCTCTGTATCATCTAGTGCTTGGTTTTGTTCACTGTGGTGTCCCCAGTACAGAGAATGGTATCTGGCACTCAATAAATACTTGCTGAATGACTCATTACAAGGCACTGGGAGGATATTAAGGTATATAAAAATATGATCCTTGGTCACAAAGAATCCTGACTGGCTGGAAGAGCAGGACAAACAAGTAAAGACTAACATACTTCTTAGGGGGCTTCTGCGGAAAAGGAAGCCAAGCTCTTGTCTCGGATAAAAGCAGGACCATGGGCTGGTGCCCTGTTCTTCCAAATGTGGTCCCTAGACAAGCAGCATCCATATCACTTGGGAACTTGTTAGAGATGCAGGATTTTAGACCCCCCTATAGAGTCAGAATCTGTACTGGAACAACCTCCCAGGTGACCTGTGTGCTGTATGTTCAAGTTTGAAGAGCACTGGGCTCCCCAACTGGGCCAAGTAAGGTCACAAGCAAGGATGCCTCTGTCCTTCAGGTGGGCACCATCCAAACCTGTACTCCAGACCCCCACCATGAAGATAGGCCTTCCCCTAACCTGTTTGGGGCAGAAGAGCAAGTACTCCTTAGCAATGCAGACCAGGAAGTAGGGGTCCAGCTTTTCAAAGTACTCAGAGCCAAGAGGAAGGCCTTGCATGCTGGAGAAGTGAAGCTCCACTGCCTCCTTCAGGAGCGCTGTGGTCTCTTGCTCCCCCTTGTGCTTCTTAGACGTCAGGAGGGCTTGGAGGAAAATTAGCACCTGTGGAAGACAGGACCGAGTCTCAGCGCCAATGCCAGCCTGGGCAGAGTTGGTAGGCAAGGGCAAAGTGAAGGTCCAGGTAACCTTGGCTGCTTTCTATTGGAAATCAGGGGTGGGAGGACAGCAAAGGACATCGTCCTGGAGCAACCTATGGCCCCAGGGAGCTCTGACCTCAGACTTCCCAAGGGACTTCTGCACCTCCTTCAGGAATTCCAGCTGGTGCTCAGCTTCCTCCAGGTGGCCTTCTAAGATATGACACAAGATGATCCCTGTAAATGGGACAAAACAATGATGAGTAGCTAGCCCTGAAGCACAGCCAGCAGCCCATCAGGTCAAGGAGCATGAGTAAGACAGTGGAAGGAAGGTGTCTCAGCATAGGGAATCTTTTCCAACATTTCTACAAACTTAAAGAGAAATACATGCTCATGCTCAAGACTTCAAACCCTAAGGCAATACAGAAAAACATCCCTAGCTCATGTTCTGGCTTTAACAATGTCTCTCTCTAGAAATAACCACTAGGCAACATTTGAGGTATAATATGTTACTACTATATAGACACCTCAGACATATATATTTATATGTACACACAAGCATACCAATGGGTTTAAAAACACACACATCCACAAAGGGAATCAAATTTCACATACACCATTCTACAATCTGCTTTTTTTTTTTTTTTTTTTTTTTTGAGACGGAGTTTCGCTCTTTTTCCCAGGCTGGAGTGAAGTGGCATGATCTTGGCTCACTGCAACCTCCGCCCCTCAGGTTCAAGCAATTCTCCTGCTTCGGCCTCCTGAGTAGCTAGGATTACAGGCATGGCCACCATGCCTGCCTAATTTTTGTATTTTTAGTAGAAACGGGGTTTCACCATGTTGGCCAGGCTGTTCTCGAACTCCTGACCTCAGGTGATCCAATTGCCTCAGCCTCCCAAAGTGCTAGGATTACAGGCATGAGCCACCACGCCCGGCCACAATCTGTTTTTTTAACTTTGTATATGATAATCATATTTTTCCATCTCTTCATACAAATTTACCCCATTCTCTTTGATGACAACATAATATTTGACTGTGGATGTAACAATTTATTTAACTATTGCCCTACTGAAGGACATCTAATTTCACATTTACTTTGTTTTCAGTATTTAAACACTACAATGCTATGATGAACATTTACATATGTTCAAATTCCTGAGGGAGAGCTGATGAGTCACAGAGCACATATATTTAAAATGCTGACAGATAAGGCCAACTTGCCCTCAAAGATACCTGAACTTATATTACTATCAAGAATTTAAAATATCCTTTCTTCATAATCTCAAACATGCTGTAATTTTTGCCAGTCTGAAACATGGAAAGTAACTAGTTTTCATTCACCACCTTTTTTTAACTATTAGGGAGAATGAACATCTGTTCATATTTCCAATATAGCCTTTTCCTTTCTACTGTGAATTTTCTGTTCACAGCCTGCCTGGTTTTTTTGGAGGGGGTGATTTTTTTTTCCTCTTTATATTTTCTTAACCTTTGTTGCAAGTGCTTTCTATTAGTTTGCCATTTATCCTTTAACTATTTTTACAGTATCTTGTCAGGTAGTAATTTTAAGCTTTTATGTAGTCAAATAGGTAAAATGTTTTCCTTTGCGGCTTCTATTTTTTTTTTTTTTTTTCATGTAGAGCCACAAAGCCAAACTTTGCAGCTTCCAAGTTTGCAGTTAGGCTTAGAATCCTCAGGGAAACCCATGTTTCATTTAATTTTTATGTTTAATACTTAATTCAACTGAAATTTAAGTATGGTGTAAGATGAGAACTTACCTTTATTTCTTTTTCATAATGGATAGCAGGGTATCCAACTAGGAGTTACTGAACAACCTATCAGCTTGAAATAAGGCCTGTTACATCCCATTTATCTATTTGCTTATCCCACTCAGTGCTGGCCTCAAAGGGACTTAATTACTGTGGTTTTGTGATATGTTTTGATGTTGGGAGGACAAATCTCACATGTTTGAAGCAAGCTATTCTACTTGTACAGATATTTCTTTGCTACTTTGGCATATTTATTCTTGACTATCTTCCTAATCACCATCTTAGTTTTCAGTTATATCCATCCCACTATTTGACCCATCTATGCAATTTTTTACCTTACAACAATATTTTTGATTTTTGGCAACTCTTTTTTGTTCCTGTACCTTTTTCATAGTAGCATGTTCTTTACTTATTGCCATAATAGCCTCTCCAAACATTGAAGAGGTTTTGGGAGGAAAAGTCTTTTCTGTACTAGCCTTAACTCTGCTCCTCAGAGGGCTACTGCTTTATATGTTCCACTCGGCCGATCTTTCAGACTGCTAGCAGATTTATAAAGGAAGGACAGCAAGTAGGCACATTTCACACACTGTTAACGTCACTGATTCTGCCAGACTGGACAGAAAATACGGTGACTCCAGGACATACGAGTGGGCTCGCTTGCACTGGGAGAGAGGACAGACATCCTGACCAGTGGACTTTCCTCTGGCTAACCACTGGGGCTCTCCCCCTTGAAGGAGGAAGTAGGGAAGGACTCAGCCTGGTGGAGGAACATTCTAGGGAATTTTGCTTTTGTGCTGAGCAGCCAAGTCCTTTTGTCCTTCATATCCCTGGTTATGGTGGGAAATCATCCAGAGCACTGCTCCTCTCCCTCCTGCCCCAACACCCAATACACACCTCCTGGATTCTAGTCTCTGGCCGGGGCACGGTTCCAATAATCCTATAATCGCTTTCACTGCCCTGTGGCATGCTTTCACACTCAGCCTCTGGTGACCCTGAGCTCGTGTTTTTTAGTTTTCGTTTTTCCTGGAATTCTTTGGGGAAAGCTGGTCTACTAAATTCTTTAGCTAACCCATCTCTGCCTATGTTGGTTTATGGGTTTCTAAATCTGCTTGGAATTCCCATGTATTTGATACCATTTGCCTTCCATCTTCTAGAAATGTGAAATTCTTCAAAGTTTCTGGTCTATGGAAGGTATTTTTCTGTTTCTAAGGCTGCAATGTATTCCTTTTTTTTTTTTTTTTTTTGAGGTGGAGTCTCACTCTGTGGCCCAGGCTGAAGTGCAGTGGCACCATCTCGGCACATATCAACTTCTGCCTCCCGGGTTCAAGTGATTCTCTGGCCTCAGCATCCTGAATAGCTGGGATTACAGGTGTCCTCCACCACGCCTGGCTACTTTGGTGTTTTTAGTAGAGACGGGGTTTCACCATGTTGGCCGAGCTGGTCTCGAATTCCTGACCTCAAATGATCTGCCCACTTCAGCCTCCCAAAGTGTTGGGATTACAGGCATGAGCCACCACGCCCGGCTGATTACCTTTTAAAGATATCTTTCATTATTTTCATGGGATTTGGGGACAGAGGGCAAGCATGGATTTGAGGGGGTCAGCCTGACATGTTGAACCAGAAGTCAAGATAAACTACTCTGATAACTGTGCTATGCAGATGAGGAGCCTAGAGTTTAGAAAGGAGAAGTGACTTGGCCCCAAACACACAGCCCCTCAGGGCCAGGGCAAGAGCCAGCCTGCCTTGAGCACTGGATCACACAACTTCCTCAACCCAAAGCAAACACTGCCGTTTCAGAATTCACCACAGACCATAGAGTAGGGGGCTTTAAAAAATGTGTAAAATGGAAATGGCGTTGTAGAAAGTTCATTTGACATTTACAGAAAGGATTTTTAAAATCACCTGGACAGACAGGGAAATATATAATTCTCAGAGCTACTCTTTTTGGTGGTTTTTCAGCTCACAGCCCTGGAGGAGGGTCTGCAGAGGTGAATCTAGAGGCTCTGCATGTGCGGATTGGTGGTGAGTAGAACTGCCTCCAACCCCGGCCTGGGCAGCCTGAGAAGAGGCAGGGCCCACTGAGTGTAAGGTTCAGCCTGTCAGTCTTCTGGGGCAATCAGTGTAGACAGACGGTGGAGGTCTAGTGGAGATCAGAGTGACTCTGATCATACCTCCGAGCATTCCTGTGCCTCCTACATCCATACTTGTGGATTCCCAGAAAGATACCCCATCATACATCGTACCCCAAAATTCACATACCCCCCAAGGAGAATGCTTTCCAGCACCTCTCTTCTGGACCCGTGGAAGCTGCCCGGTTTGGCTCCCGACACCCAGCCCCGAACCCTGCCCTGCCTGCATATACCTGTCAAACCAGCCATGCCATCCTTGTCCAGTTTCATGGCTTCTGTGTACCACAGCAAGGCCTCTTTCACTTGGTTCTTCAGGATGAAGAAATAGCCCAGTTCTGTGGCCACATGGATGTAGGAGGGGGTGGCCATGAAGGTGCGCTCGATGAAACTACACACTAGTCCTAGAATCACCTGGTGACTCCCACACTGCAAGAAACAGGAAGGTGGGAATTGGGAGACCAGTCAGTCCAGCCTGTATCAGCAAGGTCATGTCAGAAATGGGGGACACTTTGGTAGGCAGGGCTGGGTAGGCCCAGGAGAGCCCAAGAGGTACCCTGTGTCTAGGCAGCTGGGTCTGTGTTGCTGTCTGGCTCCCAAGGAACCTCTCACTGGCCACATCTGTGGAACCTGCCTCTAGCCACAGGGTCCTCTGAGGGACCTATCCGCTGTCTGACCACAGTAATTGGTCTAAGGAGTCACCAAGAAGTTTTTCAAAAATTGAAGCTGAATGAAAGAACTTCTTTGTGTCCAGTAATAAGAAGGGGCCCCAAAGGCTGCCATCAGCCATGTTCCCTGCCATATGTGGAGAACAAGGCAGAGAGAATCAGACACACAGAGGGAGAGATGGTGTCTATGCAACTCCACAGTTCTGGTTCCTGAGGTCCCAGAGTTGCCTTCATTCTTATAGCAACCACTTCTAGTAAATCTTGCTTTGGGGCTGAAGAGTCTAAAAGAGACACAGATTTGTTGGCAACCTGGTCTAGTTGGACCTTCCCTGATGCTTGAGAGGCCTAGGCAGGCCAGCCTTCTCAGGCCACTTCCACACAAAAGAATATGGGAGCCAGGCACCCAGGCACTGGAGGCCAGAGCTGGGTGTGGCTCTGCTGCATAACAGCGGCGATACCACCCACTTTCCCCAAATAAGGCACAGCCCACTCCAAAAGTACTTTCAGACCCTGTCTCCCTGATCTTCATGGCATCTCTGAGGGGGCACCTAGGCTAAGGACGTAGAACCCACATGTCACAGTTATCCGCCAGAGGCAAGTAGGTGCAAGAGGCTATGAGCCACTACCCCAAAAGGACAAGTTTGAGCCAGAAGGGAGGGGCAAGGCACTCAAGGAGTTTCCTGGGGGAGCACAGGTCTCCTCTAAGGAAAGGAGGGAGAAGCACCATTTCAGAACCAGGAAAGAACCTTCTTACCAGTCGGCTAACCACAAGAATTTTTTTAAGATGGAGGCTTGGATTTTCGGGCTCCCTTGTCTCTAGTGCCTTAATCAGATTTCTAACATGATTGGTAGCCTGCAGGGACAAAACAGAATGTCAACATGCAAGGTGCAAGGTCAGAGTTGGGCCGTGGTTCTCAACCCTGGCTGCATAGTAGCATCAGCTGGGAGATTTAAAAAATGCCCATGCCCAGGCACAACCCCCCAGAAATTCAGATTTAAGTGAATTGGAGTGGCCCACGCATTAGCATTACTTCAAAGGCCCATAGGTGGAGCTCCTGGGGACATTATTCACCCAGAGCTGGCACTGCCCCTCTGTTCCTGAATTTGTTTTTTTTTTTCTTTTTTTCTCTTTTGACTGCTCCTTATGGAGCAGGGCTAACCCATAGAATAGCCCTGTTCCTGAGTTTGTGAAGAGAAGCTGCCTTTTCAGACCCACCCAGGCAGAGCCAGTAGCTAGCCCTCACTGTGTCCATAGTGCAGCCTGCCAGGCCAGCAGCAAACTAACTGTGCTGGCCCAGAAGCCTCTGCTCCATTTTGACATGAGTCAAATGTAAGTTAGTATAACGATCCGAACTTTCCAAACTTTCCTGTCCAACACATGAAAGGTCAGAAAGGTTAGGCAATTGGTCTGAGGTCACCCAGTCACCTAGGTCACTGACAGATTCCAAAGCTTAGGTTCTTTCCCACTCCCCACCCAGGAGTAAGGAATTCTTAGTTCCCAGCTGCAGAGAAGTGCCAAAAGCGAAACCCAGGATGGTATGGGTCCACTCTGTTCAGTAAGCATGAACAAAATTAGAACTGGGTAGCCAGCTCGGGGTCGGAGGTAGGCCCCGAGGTTTGAAGTAGGAGTAAAAGAGGGGCTAATGCTAAATCCCAGTTAGCTAAATGCTAAGTCTGCCCTTGGGATTAACTTTCAGACCAGGCCCCAGGAAGGAATGCTTAGGGATCTTGGGTCACAGGGAGCTGAGGTTAGTCCTATTCTCTTATTCCTACCCAGAGACGAAAAGGGCTGGGGCCCTTTTTGTGGGTTCCTCCCAAATACGGACTTTCCCCTCTACCTCATCCCATCCCACAAAACCCACAATCTCAGAGATGTGCAGAAGGAACCAGAAGCTTCCCCTTCCCACCATGACCCCTTAGAGACTCTTGGTTTGCCATGCTCTCCACAGAGGCAATATATTTCACTGATCTAAAAGGCAATGCTTTGGCTAAAAACACAACCTCTTTTTGAAAATGAGAACTTGTCTGGGTATTGGAGTTTCACTAAGAATTCTAGGTGTTTCTGACTGCATTTGAGGGCTATTTTTGGTTTCTCTGGAAAACTACAAGACTTACGAACATGTTTGGGGCCCAGAATTACCTGGCCAATGCCTGAGCAGTTCCAACTATCCCCTAAAAAAATGGCATTTCTTGAATTCAGAAATACTACCACGACTTCTACTATCAGTTAACATTGATGAAATTACTGTAGTGTGAAAGGGACTGTTCCAAACTCTCCCACTTCTTATCACATTTAGTCCTGTGTGGAATTCTGTCTATTTTACAAACAGGAAGCCTGAGGCTTATCCAGGTGGGGACACCTGCCAAGGCTTCCACAGATAGCACAGGGCAGAGCCTAGCATCAACCTCACTGCCTGATGCTGCCTGACTCCCAAGCTACACAACCCAAAGAGTCAAACCAGAGCAGGCCTCCTTGGCAGCGAGTATAGGGGTGGGTAGGAAAGAGGAAGCTGAGATCCAGGGGCTCTGTACAAAGGCTTTGAGTCAGGTGCACAGGTTATGAAGGGTTCCTCCCTGACTCTGTTTCAAGGCTCACCTTCTGAGTCTTCAAAGAACTTACTGTGGTCATGTTTCCTTCTCTTGCAAGCTCATGCACAGCTAGAATTTGGCAGGCATCAATATTGCTTTCATCTTTTTCTAGGATTCTGAAGGAAGAAGAGGAGGCACATGAATTGAGGGTATTGATAGGCAAGGCTGGGATGGTGAGTTGGCAACTTCTGATTGTCTTTGAATATCCATTCTCCCCTCTTCTTTTAATAATAGAACTCCCAAATTAGCCAGACATAAGCTGCTCAGAATAAAGATGACATTTCCCAGCCTCTCTTTGCAGCTTACATTTGGCCATGTGACAAAGGTCTGACCTACAGGATAGAAGTGCAAGTGAGGGGTGTGCTGTCCAGTTGTGCCCCACCAGCATGCCTTCCCTCCTGCCTACTGTCTGGAATGTGGACCATGTGAGCATTATCCTAGGAATAGCAGAGCAACAAGACAGAGGGGCTTGGGACTCCCCAGAGTTAAGCTGTTATCCCAGCCCTGAGCCACCAACAACTTTACCTGGAGGAAGAATAACCTTTTATGTTATTTAAGTTGTGTATCTGAGGGTCTTTGCCACAGAAACGTATTCATAACCCAACTAGCCAGACATGACCACGGTGCCAGAGTCTAGAGGTGGTCAGAAAGGTACTTGGGGGGCAGTCACTTTAAGATGGAAAAGGAACCTGGGTTTCAATTCTGTCCCATTGTGAAGCTATAGCTTCTGACCATACTATGAGGTTTTCGATATTCTATTTCTTTATAGAAAGATTCTTTCCCATTTTTCAGCCTGTCAGGGAATGACTTTCTGCTTAATAGTAGGTTCGTCTAATTCACACACTAAATTCCAACATGATTAGGCACAATCAGCACTGAAAAAGTTCTAACCATTTCTGATGCTTCTGAGAGCACTGTAAACCTCATACATTTGAGAATTAACAAAAACCGCAACATACTTTGAAAAACTTATAGACCAAAGAAGACTCTGAATAGATATTAGAAAATTCTTGGAGCCAAATGATATAGAAAAATATTACATATCCAAATGGGTAGACTCTGCAAAAATGGTACCTTGAGGGACACCCACAGACTTCAATGCTTATATTCTAAAGTAAAATTGGTAGAATGGTTGAGACAGGCATCCAAATTAAGAGTCAGAAAACAGGCCAGGCATGGTAGCTTATACCTGTAATCCTAGCATTTTGGGATTCTGGGGTGGGAGGATTGCTTAAGGCCAGGTGTTCAAGACCAGCCTGGCAACACAGTGAGATCCTATCTCTACAAATTAAAAAATAAAACCGAAAACTAAAATTAAAAAAAAAAAGAGAATACAATAGCAGAATACCTTGGAAAAAAGTAGTTGGTAGGAAATAATAAAGTTAAGAACAGAAATTAGGCTGGGTGTGGTGACTCGCACCCATAACCCCAGGACTTTTGGAAGCAGAGGCAAGAAGATTGTTTGAGCCCAGGAGTTTGACAGCTGCTTGGGCAACATTAAAAAAAAAAAAAAAAAAAAAACTTATAAAAAGAAATAGCTGGGTATTGTGGTGCTTGCCTGTAGTCCTAGCTTCTTGAGAGGCTGAGATGGGAGGATCACTTGAGCCCAGAGGTTCAAGGCAGAAGTGAACTATGATTATGCCACTGCACTCCAGCCTAGGCAACAGAGCAAGACATTCCCCCCCCGCAAAAAAAGGGGGGGCAGAAATTGATAAATTAGAATACACAAAGAATATAATATAGAACTTATAATACAAAATTTCTATTTTATTAGAATATAATAGAAAGGAGCTACAAAACTCAAAGCTGGTTCTTTAAAAAGGCTAATAAGAGAGGCAGACTTTTAATATTAACGAAGAAAAGAAAGAAAAAATATATTAGGGATGAAAACAGAAACACACCTTTATAGAGCAGAGTTTTAAAAATCTGAGGGGCTGGGAGCAGTGGCTCACGCCTGTAATCCCAACACTTTGGGAGGCCAAGGCGGGCGGATCACGAGGTCAGGAGATTGAGACCATCCTGGCTAACATGGTGAAACCCCGTCTATACTAAAAAATACAAAAAAATTAGCCAGGCGAGGTGGCGGGCGCCTGTAGTCCCAGCTACTCTGGAGGCTGAGGCAAGAGAATGGTGTGAACCCGGAGGCGGAGCTTGCAGTGAGCCGAGATCGCACCGCTGCACTCCAGCCTGGGCAACAGAGCGAGACTTCGTCTCAAAAAAAAAAAAAAAAAATCTGAGGGAATTCTATGAATCCCACTAACTAGGAAAGCTTCCATGAGGGAACACGCTGGGGCACTGGATTCAATCTGTTGGCCCCAAACACTGTCTCCCTTCACATGGGCACAGCAGGGCCAGGGCCGGGGAGGCCACAAACACCCACATATGGCTTCAGCCAGGTGCTTCCAGGTGAGCTGCTGGCCTGAGACCTAGCCTCCAAAGCAAGCTCCTACGAAGGCCAGGTCTACACTGTGAGAAAGGGAAGCTGAGGTCCACACAGGCATTAGCAGCTTGTGTGTGGCGCCTGTGGGCTGGGCAGGATAGAGACATGTTTGATTTGCCACCAGCACCTCTCTATAAGATTCAAGTTCCAGCCATCAGCGGAGGAATTAGGATTCTTCCCAAGGGAAGGAAGAAGTTTGATTATATGCTTTTTTTTTTTTAGACCTGTGCTATATATTTCCCTATAATTCAGTTACAAGTCATAGTGATAACTCATGGGCCATTAACTCCTCCTGGGAAAAAAATGAAGATGATACATTTTAGAATGATTGTGATAAAAATAAAGTGTTAGAGTTTATTTTTATTTATTATTATTATTTTTTGAGACAGGGTCTTATTCTGTCACCTAGGCTGGAGTGCAGTGACACAATCACAGCTCACTGCAGCTTCAACCTTCCTGGGCTCAAGTGATTCTCCCACCTCAGCCTCCCTAGTAGCTGGGACTTCAGGTGCACACCACAATGCCCAGCTGATTTTATTTTTTTATTTTCTGTAGAGACAAGGTCTCACTATGTTGCCCAGGCTGGTCTTGAACTTCTGGGCTCAAGCAATCCTTCTGCCACAGCCTCCCAAAGTGTTAGGATTACAGGCATGAGCCCACTGTGCCCATTAGAGTTTAAAGAGACATTTTTTTTTTTGGCTCGCCAAAAGCCTTGCATCAAATATCCTCCCAAAAGCCATTTTCATTTTTCTTCACAATGCTTCCAGATCACTCTATACTTGGTATCTGGTTTCTACACGCCCAATAACTCCTGAAATCTGCTCTCTGGTTTATGTACCCAGTCTGCTGCTAAAACACTTCTCTCAAAGTCACCAGTGACTTTTTTCCCCTAAAGTTTTTATTAAGGTATACCATACTCATAGTTTAAAAAAAACTTAATAATGAAATATATTCTAGTCTTATTCTCCTGCAGTCTTCACAGCCACTGCTTTCTACCCTGGAACTCTTGCTTTAGTTCTTTCGATGGGTCTTTCCCTGCCTCTTGTTGTTTAACAAGCCTTTACCCTCTATTTCTTGATTTAGCCATCACAGGCCACAGCTCCTAGCCTCATGTTATGATGTGTATTTCGTTTGCTTGCACACCCATCCCCCGTCTCCTCCTCATCCCAATTTGGCCATAGCACAATTCCCAGTTCCTCTATGGGCGATATTTACCTTTCCGCCTTATTTTCCTGCCTCACCATCTTATAAGATGGTAACATACGTGTTAGCACCCTTGTCTTGGAAAGAAAGGAAGCTGCACGGTTGGGCAGTAACTCACCTATGTCCCATTTCTACTGTCTGCTCCCAGTCCTGCCGAGCTAAGAACAGCTGCATCTTCAGGACGAGGGCTGGCAGGAAGCTCCCTGAAGTCACAGTGATCTGGTTCACCACCTCCAGGGCCTCTGAGTAGTTCTGCTGCATCATGAAGTACATTGCCTGTTGGGAGCCAGACAGAAGAGCCTCCGTGAAGGGAGTGCCCATGAAGGGAGTTTGTTGGAGGGGGGTTGTCTCAGTGTCTCCATGAAAACAGGAACAGAACCTGACACATGGGCACTGCGGGTCCTCTCAGCTGGGCCAGTAGCCCCTCAAAGTCCCCGGGAGAAAGAGTGACATATCAAGGTTTACAACAGTCTTGGGTTCTTGGACAGGATGAACAGGGTCTTTGGGGACATAGCTAAGCCCCAAGCTTGGGAAACTTAGCAGGCCTGGGATAGGGCAAGCCCATGTGAGGTTACCCGGAAGGCGAGAGGTGAGGTCACTGGGCACTTTCCAGTTCCATAAATTTTCCATTCATTTCCCATTCACTTTTCTGTATTGCATCACTGAAATTGCTTGCCAAGGCCCAGTTTAGCAATTCTGAGTCAGTTAGGGTTTTCTGGCAAATACTTCTATCGCAAGGTTGTGGAGTTTTTTTGTTGTTGTTCTGTCAAGGCCTATTGGGCTGAGGTCATGGCCTCTGCAGGCAAACACCAGCCACTAGGTTCTCCTCAAACAGTCACGACACAGGTGCCCTAAGGGCCAGGGGGCAATGCTTCTAAAAGACTTGAAATTGGACTCTGAAAGGAGGGCTTCCCTCAGACCTACAGTAACCCCCATTAAGAGACTTGTCATTAAAAACAAGAGGATTATTCTGTATAATGAAGATTTTTGTACAAATGTGTTCACTGAAAAACTTTAAGTGCATAACCAGAAACAATCCCAATATCCAAACAATAGGGGACCGGGTTGGTAAATTACATTATGCCCATACAATAGAAGACTGGCTTTACATCTATGTTCAAACTGACATTTTGAATATTACACAAAGACAATATTACATGAAGAAAAACAAAGTAAATGACAATATACCCTAGGGTGAAAACTACATTATATACCAACACTGTGACCCACCCCCCTACCATCAGGAGCAGGAGAGTTGGTGACTGATGGCTCTCAATGGAGCCTCCCTCCAGGGATCACCCATGGTTGAAGGGAGCTGCTTTGTCCCAGGTCACACCTGTCCCTGGGGCAGCCCACCTCCAGTGTCAGGGCACTGACGGGGAGCTCACTGAAGGGGCTTCCCAGCTCCAGAGTTCCTCACAGAGTTGGCTGCGGCCTTTGCTGTGACTGTTCACAGCCAGCCTTCTCTTTCCACAGATGCTGGCCCCAAGGGTGCTCTGTGATAAGCTGGCTCACAATAATCTCCATCGCTTTCTGCCACCCAGAAAGCCAACCTAACACACACCCTGGACCCAAGTATAGAAAGAAGACTAGAAGACATTGCCCTAAAATACTAACACTTGTCTTGGAGCGGTAAGACTAAGCCTGCCATTTTAATTCATCTGTTGACTTTTTTCAGGCTTCTGTTTTCTTAAATAAGTACATACTCTTTTATAATAAAAAATACACAAACAGAAGAAAATATGAGGACATTTTTTCTCTCAAAGATTAATTCCATGAGGCTCACAAGAGAAAAAAGAAACTTAAGATCAGAAAATACAGAACATATAAAATATATACCTCCCTTTTCTTACGGCACACTAAATGAATTTAACAGGTAGAAAGAGGTGAAATGGGAAGGTCAAAATAAAAGAAGGGAGAAAGGCATTGAGTGAAACTAACACAGAGGCAGACAGAGAGCCTGAGAGGGTCAAGGAAGGACAGACCTTCAGATAGTGACCCTGAGAAGACCCCCATGCAAATGAGACAGAAACTCAGATCAACCAGGAAGAATTTGAGAAGTAGAGTGGACCTTGGACTGCTGTGTAACCCTGGGTTGGCTGCTGAACCTCTCTGGGCCTCTGCTCTTCATCTACCAGATGAGGCATCTGGAGACTGAGGTTTTGGCCTGGGGGTACCTGGTGGGTCTCTGGTTCCAGTGGCCTGGCCAGGAATACTTCTACCTCTCCCTTTCCCACTGCCCACCTTTCCCATCAGCCCCAGCACATCTTTGGTGTCCTGAATTCCTTGTTCCAGGTACTCAATGGCTTTCTTCGCAGTGTGGGGCTTGTCTGAGGTGAGGTCCACCCAGCCTCTGAGCACGTAGGCCTGGATGAGAACAAGATGAAAGATGAAGTCCTTGGTTCCGCACAGCTTCAACCCCGCCTGCACATGATCCACCCTTTGCCACCCAACACCCTGAGGCCCCGCCAGGCACAGCCCCATGCAGATCTCAGGGCAGCCGGCTCTTTCTCACGGCCAGGTCTCCCATTGTTGCTTTGTCTGGAAATGCCCTGGACAGCACCCCTCCCACTCCCAACCAAACCCCTGCACCTGATGTCCATTACCACTCGGTACAACTCAGCCTCAGAGGCCCCTGCTTAGGAGACCTCCTTCCCTGTACCCTTACAGCTCTCCATAACCCTTACTGAGGCACACTCACCTATCCTGTCATTGCCTGTTTACACTGGGGTCAGTAGCCAACATGGGGGCCTACTCAGGGCCACTCTTGATCTCTCCACTTCTTAGGCCAGCACAAGGCCTGGCCCTGCATAGGAAGCCCAGGAATGCCCTCTGAGTGGGTGAGCAGGAGCCATTCTGAGCTCGTGGACCTCGCTGGTTCCATGTTAGCCTTCACCCAGCCTTTCCTGGCAGATGGGGAGGGCCAGGCCTGGGAAGCAGACTTGGAAGAGCCCTGCCCTAAAGCACCCCTCATGATGGCCTAGATCAGTATTTCTCTGTTATATTTCTATTTCTCTTTTTCTATTATCTGTCCTAAGGAGTCTCTTTAGATACTGTTTCCTAATTAATCCCTTCCCCTGCAAGAAATGTTAATGCCTCAGATATACCATATCTGTGTATTGTGTACTATATATATATATGTGTATTTTATACATAAAGAATAAGATTTTTTTCATCTTCTCCCCCAGGGACCATGTCTACACCCTTTGAAAATTGATATCAGCCCTGCTGAGAAGGCATGGTCTAGACTGAGGCTTCAAATTCCATATTAGTGCAGATATACAGTATATGGGCTGTACTGCATGAGCCACCATTCAGTTCCAGCAGAGCACTATAGGGAGGGAATGGCCCAGTGTGACCAGCTCATCTGGGTCCTCAAAAGAACCAGTAAGTCTGGACTAGCCTGGACAACATGGCAAGACCCAGTCTCTACAAAAAATGTAAAAACCAGCTGGATGTGCTGGCACACACTTATGGTCCCAGCTACTTGGGAGGCTGAGGTGGGAGGATTGCTTGTGCCTGGGAGGCTGAGGCTGCAGTGAGGTCTCAAAAAAAATTTCTTAAGAATATGGTGCAAGCCATAGAAAATCTATCTAGAAATCAGACTCTATGGACAAACGCCAATGAGTAACCTCTGCTAAGCCCAGAGACAACATACTTGGGGCAACTGTGAGACCCGGTATTTTGTCAGTGCCTGGGTGTGGCTCTCCCCCAGTTTCAGGGCCCTTTGTGGGAGTAAGGGCCACCCTGCTATTACGTGTTTGGGTGCTGCTTTCTTCGCCTGTTGTCCCCATGGTGTGGTGAGTACCTCTCTGAAGCCTCTAGAGATCTTCAGCATGCGGTCAATGTACTCTTTGGCCTTGTCATGGTGGCCTATGAGCCAGAGGAAGACACCAGCATAGTACAGGGCAGTCCCACTGACTGTCTTGCGTATTTCCTTTAGGCTGTACTCAAGCTCCTGAATTGCTTCTCGGTCTGTAAATCCAAGAGCGAAGGAAGAGGGAGAGTTAGGATGCGGAAGTCTGCCTAGTTCTGCAGGGGCCACCAAGAGCCCAGGGAACTACCTCTGGGTCTCTCTCACACACTGTGGATCTCCTTCAACATATGCAGCACACCGCGTGCAGTCCAAGGCCTAGAAACCAGCAGTACCTGCCCTTGAGATGCCGCAGGGGCTGCCCCGGCCTGGACTCAGGTGTGCTCTCTGAGATTATCTTCTCTTTTCCGTGCCCAGCAGTGTGCTGAGCAGGCAGACCAAACCAAAATCCTTAGCCTCAGGCCCACAACTTATTATGAGTGGGGAAACAGTAGTCTGTAGTCGCTCTTGGACCCTCTCCCTGACTCTAGAGGGGTGGAGATTAGGGGTAGAATTATATATATTAGCTTGGTTTTTCTGATAAGATCTTGGCAAAGAAGAAGGGTGTTTCCCCAAATCTTGGGATCTGGAGCATGGACCCCTCCCACTGTCATGGGTTCTGCCTGCTTCCACTCAGTTGGATCCAGGCGTAGCGTCTTCTCCCAGACCTCCAAGGGGAGACGAGCAGCAGTCACTTCTCACTGGTTAACAGCATCTGCCCAGCCACCAGGGCACACACCTCCTTTGGCAGCCCTTGAGGGACTGTGTATCTCTGGGGCAGGGCTTTCTTTCCCCTGGTGGGTCAGGCCTGGCTGACTATGGTGGCACTCACCAATGATTTCACATCTTTTGTGAGCATAAATGAGGGCCATGGTGGAGCACAGGGACACGTCTGGGTGATGCCTGATGCTTTCCAGGTCACTGATGGCATCCTGGATGTGCTCTGCAAAGACAGTCCACATAGTTATACTCTCAAGCTCCAGGATTAGAGGACATGAGACTCTGTAGCTGACCCAACGGCTCAGCACTACCTGCCTTTGCCCAGAGTCAGAGGACTAACTGGTCTGAAAGGTCCCCAGTGACCCAAGCTCCCTGAAGACTGGGGCTCTGGGAAAGAGTTGCTGGTAACATGGTCCAGGCTGTTGGGGGCTGGAAATCTTGGACTTGAAAGGTGTACCTGTGAGTACTTGTGGGGATATGTGTGAGGCTGCAATTAGCTGCGTCAGTTCTGAAGAAGGACTTCAGGCAGGGCTTTCCCAGCTAGTGCTCAAGAGCCACTGATTACATTTATCCCTCCATGTCCTCAGATACTGGCCATGGGCCATTCGGCCAGTCCTCAGCCCAGGACCACCTTCTGAATGTCAGCGCATCTGCACCTGCATGGGCCCCACTCCTTTCCCTGTACCTGTACCATACCCACCTGTCCTCACACCTACCTCTTCCTCCTCCTTTGCCTGCATTACCAGTTCTCAGCTTCCAGGCCTGGAATTATTTCAAGAATCATGCAGCTATCTCTCCAATCACTCATTTTACAGAGAGGGAACCCGAGGTGCAGAGCAGGGATAGTGAGCGCTCTGAGGTCTCAAAAGTCAACTAGATATGGATTACGTAGGCTTCTGTGGATTCCCGTGGGAATCCAGCCGCTGAGTATGAAACTGTTTTTATGGGACCATAACTAGGATACAAGGAGGCATCCAGGTGGAGCCAGAGTGTTAGGGCCGGGCTAGTGCCTGGGGTCACAAGACCAACACTGCCAAGTCCTTACCTTCTTTGAGGACTCCATAGGCTTTAAAGAACTTCAACACAGGGTCATTGCTGAATTTTTCCAGGCCCACAGCTGCAGTCTGCTGCACGTGGTGGAAGTACTTTTCCTGGCTATAGTAAATGATCCCAGCCTGTATGAAGGAAGACATAGCTGCATTAGCCCAGTCCCTTCTCTGTCTCTGTTCTGTCCCAGATGGGATGAGACCTGCTCCCTTCCCTATCCCCTGCTCCTCCTCAGTTCTGCAAAGGGAAGAGAAAGAGGAAACATTCAGGCCTCATCCTGTCCTCTAACAGCCCTGGGAGCAGCTCCATGTAGTTTCTCCAGGAAAGAGTTTGGAGGTGTTTGGGGGATTACCAACAGATTCTGGTTCAACTATGATGGGGAATGCAACCCAGGCTTTGTCTTAGGAAGGGAATAAGGGGGAAAAATGAGGACACATAATAAGAAAAATTATACCAATTGTAGTTACAAGTTATTGTGGGCTTCATATCCACTATCCTGTACACGGCCCTCTCAGTATCTTTCACAGCTAAGGAAGCTTAAGCCCATGGAAACTATAGCTTGACAAAGGGGCTGAGATTTTAAAGTTAAGTTTCACTTCCCCTAAGGTTTGTGAGTGCTAGGTTGGGAACAGATGTGGTTGGACTGTAAACAGCCTCGTGGGCCATACGAAAGAGCCCAGACACCATCCTAAGGGTAACAGAAAGCAGAATGGTTTTAAGGCGAGGGATGTTTTCAGAGGTACATTTTTGCAACAACCACTCTGGCTGCTTCTGCGTGTGGGGAGTGTGTGCTGTGGTGGCTGCAGGGACTACTGCTGCTGAAGAGAGCCAGCGCAGAGAAACCAGATGGGAAGGAGGCTGTTGCAGGCGCTCAGGGGGAGAGATGGTGCTGGTTCTGGGCTAGAAGATAAAAAGATAAAAAGAAAACTCAGGAGACATTGAGGAGCTGGCATTTCTTGAAGACAGGATTAGAAGATGAGTATAAGGAAGAGGTATGAGTTAAGGCTAGGAGATTAAATAGTGATGCCATCAACTGGGGTGGGAGGCGCAGGCGAGAGTGAGCTGGGTGGAAGAAGGGATGATGACAAGAAAGGATAATGATAGTGATGAGATGCGCTGGTTTGGGGTAGCTCAAGAACCGGGGATGCTAATTTGGGGCTCAGGGAGCGCAGAAGCCACCGGAAAAGATGCGCTTGCCAGGAAGAATGGGGCAAGAAAGGGCAGGACCGCCTGATATATAACTGAGGACTGCGAAGGGTGGCAGGAGAGTAGCAAGGCACGAGGTCGCTGTGTCAGAGGCGGGGAGTCACGAGGGAGCGGTCGGACAGCGCCCACGCCACGCACCATAAGTGAGGAGTCATTGCTGCTCATCTCGGGCCGCTCGCGGCTCCGAGTCCGGGTCTGGTGGGGCGGTGCGGAGCGGGATTCCCGAGGCAGGGTCGTGGGCACTCTATCACGGCGGGCGGTTGAAGGCGTTACAGTCCTTGGAAACGGAGCTGCTAGCCGGTTGCTAGGAGCGTCAGTGTCTGGAGTGGGAGGAACAAAGCGCTTCACGTCACAAGGCGCAGGAATCGAGCGCCGAGAGAGCGAGGCCGTGCTAGTGGCGCCGGGTCGGCCTGGGTAGGCGCAGCGGGAGTGGACCCGAATGCCGAGCGGAGCCGCTGCCATGGGCCTGGGCGTCAGCGCTGAGCAGCCCGCGGGCGGCGCCGAGGGCTTCCACCTGCACGGGGTGAGTCGCCGCCGCGGCGCCGGTGACCTTGGCAGGGCGCTCGCAACCCCGCGCCCGGGCCTCCAGTCGCCGGCTGGCTGGCGACTGCGGCGGGGTCCCGGCCGGAGTGTTTTCGCGTCGGTGGCGGGCGGTGCCCCCTGCCCGGTGGGAGCCGCCTGGGAGAGGCGGCCTCGCGGGACTGCCGGACCCTGGCCACTCTGCGGCCACGGTCGGGCCCAGCGCCCGCACCAAGTGACAGCAGTGCCGGAAGCGGAGCGTTTTCCCGGTCCGGCCGCCGGGAATGGCGCTCCTGCCGGGTGAAGAATGCACCACTGCCAGTCAGGACGCACTCTTGCACTTAGCACATATTTACGCTCGCCTGCCGCGTCCGCGCTCTGTGCTGGGCCTGGGAAGAGAGTCAGCCATGCCGAAGACAGTCCCGGGGGCCGGGGTAACCTAGTGGACGCAGCTGCAGGGGAGCCCGTCGGCGCGCATCCCGCCAGTCGTAGGGTCGTAAGGGCTTCCGAGTGTAGAGGACCGGTGCAAACCAGCCACGGGATAGTGGGGAAGGGAGGGCCAGGAGAGTGCTGCAGAATCCTCGAGGAGAGCGTTTGCAGCTGGGGAGGGTCCCAGCCTTTAGATGCCTCTACAAGGAAGTCTGGGCGAGCAGGCTTCCGGAAAGTGGAGACGGAGTGGGGTTCCTAGAACGGAGTGGGCTGTGAAGGTGAGGAGAGGGGCCGCAGCCTGATGGAGATTTGTGCTTGCGGAGAGGGAAGGGCTATAATGTAGGTGAGAGGGGCTGGGGGTCTCTCACCCCGGAGCGCTGCGGGGAAGAGGCGTCCCTGCACCCCCCTTTCCCTAGTGAAAGGCAGGTGGATGCAGAGATGAGTGGAGACGGGCAAGTTTGTCGGTTTGTGTGTTTCGAAGGTAAGGTCTGTTGCCAGCTAGCCACATGAGAGGGCTAAAGGAGGAGTTTCTTAACGTGAAAACCGGGCTGGCTTGGAGAACCCAGAGTTGACAGGATTTGTGCTTGGTAATGGGCTTTCTTACAGTGAGGCACCAAACAGCAAGTGTTGACAGTGGAATGCATCCAGCCAGGAGCGTCTTCCAACAGGTTTGATTAAAGGCAAAGGAACTCAGGATATTGGCAAGAGGAGGGGTAGGGCGATGATGGGAGCTTCGAAGATGGGAGGGACCTGCCTGATGGAGAGGGACAAATCGGAGAGGGACCAGGGATCAGAGGCTGTCATCACAAAAACGTAGTTTTGAGCTCCTACTCTGGCAGGCAGAATTCTAAGGCTCTAGAGATAAAGCAGTGAACAGAACAAACATGGTCCCTGTTCTCCTGGAACTGACATTTGGAATGCTGGTAGGGAAAGAAGGGAAATGAAAAAAATACATGGTAGGTGGTAATTACTAGTGATAAAAATAAAGCAGGTTAAGGGGATACAGAATAGTGAGTGGGTGCTATTATTGATAGAGTGGTCAGGAACGGCCTCTTCTCAAGTCACATTAGAACAGATGCTTCTGAAGGAAGTAAAGAGTGGACAATACAGATATTTAGGGGAATAGTAGTATTCCAGGCAGAAGGACCAGCTTGTGCAGAGTCCCCGAGGTATGTTGTGCTTGTGTGTTTGAGGAAATGCCAGGTGATGCTGGTGTGCTTGGGTGGTGTGGCCAGTGTGAGGAGGAGACCAGAGCAGACCACGTAGGACCTTGCCTGTTGTCCTGAAGATTTAAGATTGTATTCTGAGATGTAGAACCATCAGGAGGTTTTAAGTGGAGGAGTGACATGACCTACTTACATTTAACAACACTGAAGAACAGCTGTGCTGCATTCTAGACATATTGGCACCTCGCTGTGTGCCTAACACTTTGGAGAAGTCGCTGCCCTCAGTGAGCTTAGAGTAGTGGCAGATTCACCAGGAAACAGCTGTTAGGAGAGGGCAGTGGTTGAGGGAGGGCTCTGGGTTGGATTTCCTGGGGTCAAATTGCTGAATTACTGAGTACTTGGTCTCATCTGTCATTTGAGGTTATTAAAAAGGTTAAATGATACATAAAGCAGGTGAGGTGGTACCATCCCCTGGCACTCAGCCGACCAGCCCTTAGTAAGTATAAGCTGTGATCACTGTGAGTTCCATTAGGTTCCCTGATTGGGAAGGCTAGGGTGGAAGCATTAGGAAAAGCAGCACTAAAGGGCCATGGGGCAGGCTGTGATGGGAGCCCCCGAGGGAGCTGGATAGCAGGCAGTGGTTTCTGAAGGGGGAGCAATACAGTGGGCAGCAGCATAGATTATTTCAGCTGCGGAGCCATGGTGAGTGGTGACGAGGCCCCAGGTGAGAAAAGTGGAGTGTAGCCAAGCAGAGGACAAAGCCACAGGAGAGGGTGGGTGGAGGTACTGGGTGGGTCAAGGAGCCCAGGCCTGGGGCCTGAGTCTCTGGACCTCATTAATGATGGAGAGCAGCTGACATGCAATACTGGGGAGTGGGGAGGGGAATAGGCAGGCACCTGACATGGAGTGGTTTGGAAGTGGCCGTGATCAGGTAGGGGCACTGTCCCCAAGCTGTTCCTGAATAACTGTCCTGTGGTTTTCAAAAGATCCCCTCACTCCAAGGGTTAGAGGGCAGGGCCCAGAGCTCCCCTGCAGTGGGGCCTGGGAGCAGCTTGCCTACTGGGCCAGGCCAAGTAGGGCCAGATCTGATTTCTGGGCTGCACTCACTCCCTTTGGAAGCCATGGCAGCTTCTGGAGGTGATAAGGAGGGGCCCAGTTGGTGATGCTGCCAGAAGGGAGTCCTAATTTCAGGGGCAAACTGGCCTTAATCTTAGCGATTTGTTCTTAGCCTAGTCTTCATGAGCTGTCCTTCAGGTTGGGGAATCCAAAACTGGAGGGGCTGGTGTGTAGCAGGAGCCATAGGGCCTTTCCCATGAGGAGGCAGCAAGAGCCTAAGTCCTGTGCCCTCTGAGCTGGGTCTGGCTGGTGTCTACACCAACAGGTCATCAAATGCCTATAGCCAAAGGCCAGAGGGTGTGTTTGTGGGTCCATCTTCGGGTCTAGGGCCTTGGGACAAAGCCTGCATTGTTTAAGCCAGGCTCTGTAAATGGGGCTTTTGGGATGGATTTCTGCTGCAGCCTGCAAGGCCTGGTGGTTGTGCTTTTGGAGACAGCAGCAGTGAGCTGGGGAGTTCAGGGAGGGGCAGGGAGCACCCTGGGACTGGGAATGCTTCCTGGAGGAGGTGTCCTGCACAGGCATGGAGGCTACACTATGAGGCTGGTAGGGTAGCTGAGCCAGTGGGAGGCTCCTCAGTCCAGAGCCAGGGTGTGGAGATTGGCACTGCCCACTCACTGGGCTCCCTGGCTCAGGCCCAGGTCTACCCCTGGGGTCTGCTCCTCTGCCAGTGGCTTTCATTACCTGCTGGACTGAGCCTGGGTCTCCCACCCCAGAGGCTGGGGACCCCTGGGATCTGGCTGCAAGCTGCCTTTCCCACTCCTCTTTCTCGGCACAGCCCTGGGTATATCCCTCCTGAGGCCTGCCCACTTCCACTGCACGTCAGGGCCCTCCCTTCTTGTCCAGTCTAAACCTTTCTGGTAAATCCTTTTGGCTTTCCAGCCAACCCTAGCCCAGCTCTCCAGAGCAGCATTCCCACAGGCCTGGGCCAGCCTGTCTCCATACTGCCTCCTGGGAGCCCCTAACGATGTCCTGGGCTATAAGCCATTTCTGAAAGCATCTGTGGATCATAATCAGGAAGGAGCCATTTTCCTAAGAGGAAAATTTTTGCTCAGGAAGGTAGCAAGAGACCATGGAGTGAACCTTGAGAATGCCCAGAACAGTTCACGCCAGGCATGTGTTCTGGCTGGCACACCGGGAGTGCTGGTGGTTCCTGAAATGGGGGAGAGGGCTACTTGGAGAGTCCCAGGGTTGGCGCAGTGACTGTGGCCTTTGCTGTTGGACAGGTGCAGGAGAACTCCCCAGCCCAGCAGGCGGGCCTGGAGCCCTATTTTGACTTCATCATCACCATTGGGCACTCGAGGCTGGTGAGGTTCCCCAACCCTGTCTCTGCTTTGCTTGCTTGTGTGTGTTTGTGTGTCTCCATCTGTCCCACAGGCCCCAGTCTACCCTTCCCTCCCTTTTTTTCTAAAGGGAGTCCCAGCCCTGTCTCCCCTTCTGCCAGGGTTGTACTTAGAGCCTGACTGGGGCCCTGCCCAGTGCTCAGCTTCTGAGCTCTCTGGGGTGGACAGAGGACAGATGGCCTCTTGGAGGTGGCCACAGGCCCAAGGGGCCTGCCTCCTGGGCGTGAGGGATATGAGGGCCCTGGCCAAGGGCCAGCTCAGAGTGGGGCAGCACTGGAATGCTGTGGATCCCAGAGGCTTTTTGCTTGCTTTTTCTGGCAGGCTGAGGAAGGTTTGGCAGTGCTTGGGGGAGGTAGGGGTCCCAGTGGCTACAGGCTTAACCCTGGTCTGTGAACCTGGCCCATCCACTACCTTGGCCCATCCCCACAGTGACCCTGCTGGGGGCTGCTGCCCACTAAGGCCCTTGCCCCATCTCAGGCCCATACTTATCTGAGGGTCCTAGCTTGGGCATGGGGTGGCCTTGGAGTCAGCCCCACTGCCCCCACAGAACAAGGAGAATGACACACTGAAGGCACTACTGAAAGCCAATGTGGAGAAGCCCGTGAAGCTGGAGGTGTTCAATATGAAGACCATGAGGGTGCGCGAGGTGGAGGTGGTGCCCAGCAACATGTGGGGCGGCCAGGGCCTACTGGGTGCCAGCGTGCGCTTCTGCAGCTTCC